GCAAGGGCTGTCATTGTATTTCACTGTGAGCCCTGCGGAAATGTCCGCCTTTCTCTTTAAGATCAGCCGTGTCAGATTCTCTCGGGAGTGATGCTGCTGTGAAGCTGAGATCCAGAGAAAAAATGGGTCATGTACTCATAGGTGAAAGTCCCCGAAGGGGGGAGAACCACGAGGCAAAGGAGAAACTGTCAGCTCTTCACTGCTGCATAATGTGTAGACTCAGGCTTGTGTGTACATTGACCCAATCAGTAATATCATGTAACACATCACACTGCTTCTTATTGTGGCTAATGGATGAAGTCCTCACAAAGTGTGGTCAGTTGGTTTTGTCAAACACGTTGCTGCTTTTTATGTTTTCTGTGGTTGAAATCTAATGTTTTGCCGTTGCATTTTTCAATTAATTTATGTTCCTTTTTAAAGTTTAATGGTTTGAACAAAGGTTTGTAACTGTGCATTGCCATGAGGATGTGTATCCTGTTAAACTCGACGTGAAAGAGATTATGAGGCTTCTGAGGAGTGTGTGTGTGTGTGTTACTCTGCCTGTTTGGTTGACACAGCTGTTGCGCTGTGTTTTTTCAGGTCCCTTCTCTTCTGTGTGACTGGTGTGTTCTTGTATTGTTGTGCCTCTCGGAGGTCAGAAGGGAAAAATCCACAATGCAGTCTCCTCCTGACGTGGTTTTGCTCTTCACTTCAGTCATCAGTTGCAAGAGTGTGAAGCATCCGCTTTACTATTTTATCATCATAGTTACATGACTCACTAAAGGTCAACACAGGAGATGGAAGAAAGGAGTGATGGAGTAGCTATATTGTCATATTATTCAATGTTCCATTCAACATAAAAAACTATTTCTTCATAGTGCTGTCTCCAGTAAAACATTTTAATCTAAGCTAATTTCTGAAGCCAATACAAATAAATAGTTTGGCTTCAACCCACTCCTGAAGTTGCACAGCATTTAGGCAGTCACATATTACCAAAATAAGATATAGACATATATCACAATATAAAATTCAGGTTTGGCAGAGCCAAGGGTCATGTACCTGTAAGAATTATTGTTAGCTCTCACACCAAAACAGATATAGTACTATAACTACTAACAGAGTCAGAGAGATGTCTATCAAGCAGCAGCCTGAGAAGTAAGTGAAGACACCTGTGTGTGGGTGGACCCTGACTGTGTAGGGCTTTAAAATTGTTCAGAATTCGTGTATTCACTCAAACATAATCTGAAGCTGCATTCAGGGTTTGTGTACCCACTGGGGGCCAGTGAGCAAGCTGCAAAAACAACACTGACTTATTATCACTATATAATGTTATATGTTAGCAAACAGTTGCCTATTCCACATACAGCTGACATGGAGGAACACTAGCATTCATTCAAATCGTTTTTGTGTCCACATGATAAATTTAAGTCCAATCTTCACTCTCCTTTTAGCTCTGGTTTAGTTTCTATTAACTCTTGAGAGAAATATCTGTCTTTTATATCTGGCTGCTACTGCTTTACTTTCTTCACTAACTAGTTGCCAACTCTGTCTATGTGTCTGGGCTGAACAGGTAGAAAACAATTTTGACAGGAATACCAAAATAATGAGTTTAAAAGATGCTAAAATGCTCTGTAACGCTGAGTGGAAAAGCAGAGTTAGGTGATAATTGTCCCGGGAGAAGATATGTATCCCTAAACAATTTGGATTTGATTTAAATTCTCCAATTGTATGCCTTCATTGACTAACATGGATTAAGTTATTCTGTGGTTCCTCAGTTCATCTTCAGAGGATTTGATACAGTATTTAGTGTGAAAGTAGCCCTTTAAAAAACTGTGTTTTATTTTTAATCAACATAAATGTGCAATAGGCTCTTTCTTGGAGAAGAGAAACTAGTTTAAACACTAGTTTATACAAATGTATACGTCCAATGACTGAAGTTGCTTTTATCAGAAAACCTTTATCAGAAAAATGCTGCAGCACAGAACAAGAGGAAACACATCAGCTGCAGCAGAGGAAAAGGGAAAACGAGTGACGGATATCCCCACTGTTTCTTTGTTTTTGGAAGTGTCTCATCCTGTGGCCTGGAGCCGCTGCTGGATGAAAAACAAGTCAACTTTTTAGGAATAAAAGTGAAGCAGCTTTAATTTTACAACTGTTACTTTGAGCATTTAGCACAGATTTGACAACAGTTCCAAAGTCAAAGTCCTCACTCCTTAATAAAGTAAAAGCCCATGTAGTTTGTTTTTGTTGCTTCGGTTTGTATTGGCTCTGCTGTTGTGCTGACACAGCAGCTTACAGAACAGGACACAGAAGGTGCTGCAAATAGACTGAAGCTGAGTCTGGGAATCTCTGTCATTTAGTGAGAATAATATTGGTACTATTCCAAGATCATATGTCCCACAGGAGGTCAGATACAGTTCTTCTGACTCAAAGGAGTCACAGGTCTGTCAGTGTTTAACTCGGTCAAATTTCAGTCATGTAGTACGCAGGCTGCTTTTAAAGGCCCATTCTAGTTTTCTATAGCATAACTTTAAAGTGTTTTCTATATGTGTCTATCAGTTTATACTTCCTTCCATCTTCCATATAAATCAGGGCTTTTCAAAGACTGACATTGTGGGCCCCACCTCAGACAAAATCAAGACAGCCTTTGTCTTACTTTTGTTTGGCAGGTAACCATGCTCTAGGTTTTAGAAATGCTGCTTTGAGAGCATATAAACAAGATATGTCATGTATAATGTTGGCATGTTTTCACTTAATTAGTCTTTTTTAAGCATACATTTAGTTTACATTTGGCGCCATTAAAAGTTAGCTATTAGGAGTCCCTGTTTGCAATGTACCCATGGATGTGACATTTACTTCGATACTGAAGAACATTTTAAAATGTGATTCTCATTAAAGTTCTGGAGTTATAAGGAGCATCATCAAGTATATTAATATCCTCTAGGGATAGCTCACTGTGGGTTTTTAAAGTAATTGCCTCCTTGAGTTGTGTGTCATAACTGCTGCAATTACAACTGCTGACAGTGTCGATAAGTGGGACAAATCACTTCCTCCATCCGATCCACTGAATGTATCCTTCCATATCTATATGTACTTCCTCCCATGCTATCCATCCTTTCTACCATCCTATATATCCCTCATTCATCCTGTCCATCCATCCCACTGCTAGCCTTCAGCTCCTTCCTCTGGCTGTGGAAGGGGCCAATCAGGTGCTGGGGTCACTTTAAAGAATTTACCATTGGTTGTTCTGGAGGGAGAAAGGTTGACTGACATCCTGGATCTGTATTTGATGTGTTTTCTGTAAATCCTTTTTAATCTGTGGTAATCCATCAGTATCAGTGTGGCCTCAGGTTTTAGCCGGTGCCGAAGGGCTTAGTGGTTTATATTCACAGCAGTCCAGCATGATGTTAAACAGTAATTCACCCTAAATGGATTTATCCTAATACGACTGGCAGATGGTTGGCACAGTGATCAGGCCAATATTGGTATCGTAGCATAAACACAACCATCGTGCCGTGACCTCATAGTGGATGGGATTATTTTTCCTCTGTGGATCTTTGACATCACTGAGAAACAAAGCAGAGTCACTTCCCAAAAGTCCCTGCGTTTCATCATCTAGATAAATTATTCCACTGGTGTAGAATAACTTTGTTGGAGGCTATATTTGACTTTCGCATGTTATTGTCCTTCAGTATAGGAATTGCATTATGGGATATTCAAATCTGTACCAGTGGGGCAGGACAATGTTAGCTTCTATTTTGAGTTGAATTGGAGTCAAGTGAGTTAATACAACAGAAACTTGCAAGAATATGCACCTTGTTTTTACTCAATTCCACTGTATATTACTGTAATATAATATAATGTATAATATGTTATAGCTGTACTTTGGAGTTGTAGTAAAGGTAATGTTAATAGTTTTCTGGTATCTGGTTTCACTCTGTATCAACAGGAACAGAGAAATGGTTATTGTGTGTGTAACAGATACTTCAAGACTTCTAGATCTATTCTTCTATTATACATTTTAGTGACTATTTTGACATTCCTGAATACAAATAATTATGAGTGGGTGGGACGTATAGATTTGCCCCCACTGTCATTGTTTGTTTTTGTTGTCAGTAATTGTTCTTAACTGAAACCTCATGACCCTCAAGGATGAGGAGGTATGGGATGGATAAAATCCTGAAAACAGTTTTTGATTATTGCTACCCTCTAGAGACTGTAATTGTACAAAATAATATTTAACTGAAAATTCTGGCAAAACGAAAATACAAAAAATAAATAAATAAGCTGTCAGTGTGGTTAAACATCTGTTAACTTACTATGCTGTGGTAGTTCCAGAGGGTGGTTGAGGAAGCACAGGGGGAATGGCCATCCTGCCTGCGTAAAAAAAGAAACCTCACTCGGGTTCAGTAGTGTTTTGTGTTTTTCTACTGTTTCATCTACAGTCAACAAAATAACTTAAACACCTAATCCAAACAATACTCACCTCTTCCTGGTTGTCTCCTCAGCAGGGGGGGGCAAGAAACAAAAGAGTGAGGCAGCCTCAAGCACCTGCTTAAGAGCTCCAGGAGCAAACCATTAAGATGATGTCTATGTGTTACTGAGTTTTTGATATGATCATGTATTTATGTAAATATGAATTCTTTGTACTCTCTTGTTATATGGTGTTGGGTTTAAATATGTATTATTTTATTTGGTGATGGTCCCACCTAAGGTGGTGTTATCTACCAAATTACCTACAGTACAGGGGTTTAAAAGGTAGCTAGTTGCTTTTGGTGTCACAATAAATTCCACAATTGTGCTTGAAATTTACCACCATCTCATGTTTCTCTGTGGGAAAATAAAATGAAACAAACGCCGCTCTATCAGACATTTATTTAAGCACCTGCCCCTGTGTGTGTATGTGTGTACCTCTTTATGAGTATTCCCCTTTTACAAAATGCATTATAACATCTTTGCTCATCCTCTCATCATGCACCTGTCAGAATCCTGATGATGTTTATTTTTGTCTTCTTTCACAGAGATTATGAATGATGTAATCAAGAAGGTGAAGAAGAAGGGAGAATGGAAGGTAAGAAACAAACTCTGGGTTTATTAAAGAGATGGGGCACTGAGACTCACACCAAAGACTAGATCATATTTCAATGACTAAAATGTGTTCAGCCAGACAAATGGATCAGTTTTAGAGATTAGTTCAAATCAGAACCCTGCAGCTTCATCTTGCTTTTCTCTAATTAAGACAATTAAAGCTTTATATATATATTTGATATTGTACATTCTGGGAAACAAAATCTGCAAACCCATTTACTAATTGCAACTGCTTTATGTGTGAGCTGATACCTGTCCAGTATTTGAATAACTGCCAGTATAGACATTATGAAGTTCCACTGGACTTTTGCCTAAATGTGTCTTTTGTGTTACTTTATCTGCATTACTTTTGATAAGTGATACATTGTTATATAAGCACTTGTTTGAGCCTCTGAAATATTAATATTTGCTGGTTTTAGCCCTAACCTGATAGTAAACTGAATATTTGGGGGTTTTGGACTATTTGTTGGAAAAATCCTGACACCGCAGCTGACATCTTTTACATTTTCCAAGATTATTTGAGCAGGAAGCTAAGTAATTTAAGCACTCCTCATTTCCGTAAGAGAGTATGAGTGGTGCAACGTGCAGCCAAATCTATTAGTCTAATAGCACCACAGGATATTACAAACAATTACAAAGTTTACTAAGAAATGTCTTCAATCACAACTGATTGACAAGCAAACTGAAATACTCAAAGGATGCAAACCACGCATGAAATGTACACATGCATGTAAGACAGGTGGAAAAACATAGAATTTAGTTCAGGTCTTTACATCAATGTTGCACATTTGACAAGCTATAATAACTAAGACCCTAGTCAAAAGAAAAGTCAAGATTTAAGTCTATATCACTTATGAATGCAGGAATGGCAGTGAGGTTTTATTTGATTAGTTTTTTTGCAGTTTTGGACATTAAAATGACACTGACAGTTAACATCATCAGCATAAGCAGGTTAAACATATTTACAATTCCCAAAAATGTTCTGCTGTGAACATCAGGTAAAACAAAATTCACAAAGACGGATGTATAGCCAAAGTTTAATTGTTAGCAACATGTAATGTGAGTAATTAACTGTGTTTGAATAGTCAATCTCTTATTTCCTGTTGCCAGGCGCTGATTGTGGACCAGCTGAGCATGAGGATGTTGTCATCCTGCTGCAAGATGACAGACATCATGACAGAGGGCATCACCAGTAAGGGACAGTGTTTCTCTGTACTGTTACAATTTACTTTGTTTTTGTATGTGTTTCTGTAACTGTGTGCACACATGTGTCTGTTTCTGCTTTTCTAGTTGTGGAGGACATCAACAAGCGACGAGAGCCTCTGCCCAGCCTGGAGGCCATTTTTCTGATTACACCCACAGAGAAGGTATGCATGTCCTCCCTCTCTCTCTCTCTCTCTCTCTCTCTCTCTCTCTCTCTCTCTCTCTCTCTCTCTCCCCTCTCTCTCTCTCTCTCTCTCTCTTCTTTTTCTTTCTCTTTCATTCATATTGTATATTCATAGTCACAGTCACAGTGTCTCTATGGCAGCATGTCTGTGGTTTTACCAGAGAATGAGAAATCCAAACACACAGCTATTGACTCAACAGAGGCAAATACACACTTTGTTTCCATGGTCTGTCTGTCTCTCTCTCTCTCCCTTTCTGTCTCCCTCTCTCTCCCTCTCACTCTCTCTCTCTTCACAGTCTACCATATATATATATAATACATAAGGTACTGTAACGACTGTAAAACACACAGATGGTTTGCACACTACATAGTATAATGAAAGACAAAGAAACCACTGCAACCTAATCATTAGAACATAAAAAAATAAAAGAATATGCAGTATTATGATAAGATGAGGTTTAACTACTGAATACATGGGCAATTGAAGAAAAGTTTCTTGCTCAATTATTTTAAGCTTTATTGGCATGAAAAAACACTTTTCTATGGTGGTTTGTTCATTAAGCAGTTACAGTTTATGTAAAGGGTTTGGCAACATTGTTTTGATCAAATCATAGCAATAAAAGCTTCAGTGAATTGAATTGTACACATCGACACGCACACTGTGCTGTAGTGTACACACTCTATACTCTGACTCTGAGGGTCTCTGTTTGTCTCTCCTCAGTCTGTCCACTCCCTCATCGCAGACTTCAAAGATCCTCATTCAGCTAAATACAAGGCAGCCCATGTTTTCTTCACTGACTGTGAGTATATACATGCAGACTTCAGCAGTACTGTGTTTGATACACTGTTTTTGTTTTGAAACCTATTTGCGTTGCAGAATTCAAGCTTTCAATTATTTTTGTTCTGTGTCTTTTGCATTTTTACTTTATTCTAATCTCTTGTTCTCATTTTTTAGTCTGTTCAGTCTGTTTTCTTGCCTTTTAATTATTTCTTTCAGAGATAAACTGCTTTGTTGTCCTTTATATATTTGAAGGCACAGTGCTCATTGTTGTTAGAGCACCTAACAGTGTCCTCAAATCCCCCCACTTTCCTCCCAGCTCACTGTTAATGATTTGAAGGTTACTTTTCAACGCATCAACAGCAATCTGCGAGGAAACATTATATGGAGGCGTAATTAACTGCTGTGACAAAAACAGGGAGTTTAATTTAATTAAACTTTAATTCAATTGGTAGGTGAATGAACAGTACACAAAATTCTCACACTGACCCTTTTAATTTTACTATAAATGTGAGTTAGAAATGTCTTTGCAGTGTGAAATGATGCTCACAAAAACATCCTGTTAACTGATGGATAAGTGATGGTTATGAGAATATCATAACCTAGTCTGTCAAAAAGGTTATCAGTGGAGATGTGACAAACTAAATGTTGCTTAAAAGGCATATTTGAAGATTCTGAACCAATGAATCAGAATCCCTTGATGCGTAAAAATGACTTGCTATTAATTATAATTCTGTTTTACTCAACTTCACCTCTCCAGCCTGCCCTGATCCTCTTTTCAACGAGCTGGTGAAGAGCCGTGCTTCCAAATCCATCAAGACTCTGACGGAGATCAACATCGCCTTCTTGCCCTACGAGTCTCAGGTAAATATCCAATGTGGTTGGGTAATGATGGTGACTCTGCCGCTGTTAGAGAACCTAATGCAGCTTGTGCATGTGCGCCCAGTTTTACCATGATTTATAAAAAGAGATTTATAAAACAAGATCATACAAATGGATTTTTAATTTTGACAAAAAGAGTACATGTGCACATTTCTGTCTTTGTTAACCTACACAGAGTTTTACGCATCTGGGCTCCGGATTGTTTTCCATTTCTTGACATTATTCACAGCCTTTTCTCCTCTTGGCAGAAAGTGAATGAAAGCTGGTTCGCTTTTATTTTCTGTTAGTGACTGTGAGTGAAAACCAGAGAGAGAGAGAGAGAGAGAGAGAGAGAAAGAGATAGAAAGCTTGAGCAAGAGCAGCAAGAGATCGATTAAGACAGGTGGAAGGAGAGAGATGCTGCAAAGGACACGGACAGGAATAGTAACAGTGAGGTTATTGGTTGTTACAGTCAGGGATGGATAAAAAGAGAAACTCGAATACACACTCAAGTGGTCGCGTGGCATAACACTGCTGACTCACCAGTCACTCTGTTTAATGCCAGACTGTTCAAGAGCGACTCACATTTGTCCCATCGCCTTCCCTCCCTCATTCCCACCTGCTTCTCCACCCTTGCTATATTTCCAAATTCATGCCTCCATCATGTTTTTCCTCACTCTCTCCCTCCCTCTGCCTGTTTTCTGTTTTTTTTTATACCGCCATTACTCCATCCCTGCCTTTACACGTTGCTTGCGCTCTCTCCGCTCACTGCTCTCCATCAGGCTTTTTGTTTTTTCTTTCTTATTTATATGTAATTTATATGTATTCTTATTCTATTCTTCTCCTTCCAACCATATTTTTCCTAATTGTCCCTCCATCCACCCCTCTCCTTCAGTCCATCCTTGTCTCACTATTCTGAAGATGCTGCTTGGCCCACAATGCTTTGCTCCCCTCCTGTCTACTATGATTAATTCAGAGTCAGTGGTTTTCTGCTCTAGGCAAAGTGCTGCCTCATAGCCCCACCCACAGGCTGGTGCTCTCGCTCCATTGGATGAGTCAGGATCCACATAGCAGGCGGTAGCCAATGGTAGCTGAGCTAACATAGGGACCCTTCTGCAGAGCAGCATGTGACCGTGGACAGATGGGGTGGAAGGAGGGAGTGGTAGTGGGTGATGCAGGAGAGGAGAGAGGAGGAGAGGAGAGGAGAGGAGGTGAAACGAGGGGAGGAGGGAAAAGAGGACTCTAGAAAGAGAAGAGGAAACGAGTAAATGAGAGGAGAGAGAAGTAGAAAAGATGACATGAGAGAAAATCGAGTAAGGAAAGAAAACAGGAGGTGAGATGAGAGGAGAGGGTGAAGAGAGAATTGGAGAGAGGAGATGAAACAAGGAAACAGGAGCAGAAGAAAAGGAACATAAGAGAGGAGAGGAACCGTAGAGAGGTTTAGAGAGGAGTTGAGAGGAAAGAGAGAAGGATGAGGAAATAAGAGAAGAAAAGGAAACAAGGAACTAAAAGGTGAGAAGAAGGGAGGAGAGGAATCGACAGGATAGTGGAGGAAAGAGAAAAAGAAAGGAAAAAGAGGGAATGAGAGAGAGAGGAAACAAGGAAATGACAGAGGTGAGGAGACAAGGAAAAGGATAAGGCGGACAAAGGAGAAGAGATTAAAGGCGAGTTGAGACAAGGAGGATAAAAAAAACAAAGAAAGGAGAGGAAGGGAGATAACGGAAGAGAATACACTGTATAAATGAGCTGTTTGATATTATCACAACACCTCCAGCTGTTTTTTTTTTACAGCTAGATAACAAGCTGTCTGTCCACGGTGACCTGCTGTATTTTACACAGAGCAGCTCACATTCTCTGTGCATCTGCTGCATATTGTGCACATTACATTAAAAAAAAAGTGTGTAGGGGGTGGAAAAGCTCAGATCAACTAACATAGGAAGGCAACAAGGGGTTTTGCTGATGCAGAGTTTCCATTGTGTGCATGTTTGTGTGTGCAGGTGTACTCTCTGGACAATCCAGATGCCTTCCACAGTTTCTACAGCCCCCATAAGACCCAGCTGAAGAACCCGGTGATGGAGAGGCTGGCTGAGCAGCTTGCCACACTCTGTGCCACCTTGAAGGAGTACCCTGCTGTCAGATACCGAGGGTGAGCAGCAGGGGGTGCTGCTGAGATGCAGCTGTGGTTACAGACTGGTTTCTGAAGCAAAACACATTTTAGCAGCCAAGGAAATTGTCTATTTGGACATATATGTGCTACAGTGAGTGAAACTGTAGAATATAGTGAAAGATTAAAAATGACACTTTTGCTGCTAAAAAGTAAGGAACAAAGGCCATTTATCCTATTTCTTTTCAAGCTCAGGAGATATCTTAAGTTGGTTATGGCGACTATAGCTTTTCAGTCTCGTAGATATCTGATTCATTAAAAACATTAAGTTGCCAGGAGGTGTCTCCCTTATCTATGCTGCCCACACATGCTCTATTCTAATGTCATCCCTCCAACTTTTCATCTGTAATCTCTGCTGTCATAAAAATGTCTGCACTGTTCAGCCCTCTCTGTTCTCATTGCTCGCTGCTTGATGGACCCTCCATCTGTCAGGCCAGTGACATTTAACCTGCAATCGTTGAGGGAAATGGTGTTCACTAAAAGCTACTAAAACAGAACTATAAAAGATCCCTTCCAGACATCTTTTAAAACATATGAAATACCCTGCCTGGAATAATATGGATTTGTTTTCAGGAGTTCAAATACCTTGCAAAAATTCTTAAAATGACAAAATTACATACTCTTTGCTTCTGTAAAAAGATGTGACTTTGTTTTTGTCAATTAAAATCTTCTGTAATACAAAAGGCTGCTGCACAGACTTAGGAGGAGAAAACCAGTGGTTCTGCAGATATTATTGTTCAGTCAGGACAAAAAGGGTTGAGATCACTTAATGTCCTTCTTAAAAAGTCAGTAAATTTGATTCAGCATAGTTGCCAAAATAAATATTTCCCTGTTGAGATCAATGTCTTTTAGGAAGTGCAGCAGGGACAGAGCTGTCACACACCTGTCTGTCACATGCTTTCACAATGTGCAAAAGTATTTTTATCAAAGTCTTTTTCTTGTCTTTGCTTTTTCTTTTGTCTCATCTGCTTGCTCAAATGTTCGTTTTTACATCTGTCTTACTCCCTTCTTTTTACATTTATCTGACTTCCTGTCTTTCTGCTTACCTCCATATGCTACCATCTGTCTGTCCATCTGACATCCATCTATCTGTCTATCTGTCATCCTGTCAGCGAGTACAAGGACAACGCCACCCTGGCTCAACTGGTTCAGGACAAACTGGACGCCTACAAGGCTGACGACCCCACTATGGGAGAGGTGAGCTCCGTATATTCCTGCTTAAAGATGTGTTTTGGGTTCAACTGTCTCATATTCTTGTTGCAAAATATTTATCTTGAATTCTTCATTGCTGAGAATGCACTATGTAAAGAACAACACTGTATATGTGTGTTTGTCTAATTGCTCCTTTTCATTCTTTCCTTCAATAGGGTCCTGACAAGGCTCGCTCACAGCTGATCATCCTGGACAGGGCGTTTGACCCCGTCTCTCCTGTCCTGCACGAGCTCACCTTCCAGGCCATGGGCTACGACCTGCTGCCCATCGAAAACGACGTCTACAAGTACGAAAAACACGAATGACAAAACAGAACATCACTTATCACTTGTGAGGGCTATGGCTCTGTTTTAATGACGCTTAATAAAGCTGGAGGCAGGATTTATAAAATATTCACATCAGCTTCAATCTCCTAAATGTCGGGATGTGTGTCCTTTTTCTTTTTCAGGTACGAGACCAGTGGCATCGGAGACTCTCGTGAGAAGGAGGTTCTGCTGCATGAAGACGATGACCTGTGGGTGAGCCTGAGACACAAACACATAGCTGAGGTGTCCCAGTGAGTACTTTTCTTCATACTATATATATCTCTTTATATTATGTATGTCCTTGGATATTGAATTAGGCACTATAACAACCTGTCTCTCATGTCTTACTACTTCCCCTTTGCTGCCGCTTGTGTTTGGTCTTCAGGGAAGTGACACGCCAGCTGAAGGACTTTTCTGCCAGCAAGAGGATGAACACTGGGGAGAAGGTAAAGAGGAAGTCTGAACATACAGTACTGCCAACATTTTGGTACCTTTTAAAGGAACATTTTAAAGGAAGAATTTGACATTTTGGGAAACAGGCTTCACTTTTTCACTGTCTTACTGAGAGTTAGATAAGAAGAAGACATAACTCTTATGTCTGTCCATTAAATATGAAACCAGCAGGTGATTAACTTAGCTTAGCATAAAGACTGTGAGCTGTTTCCCCTACTTCCAGTCTGTATGCTAAGCTAAGCTAACCGGCTGCTGGCTATAGCATCATATTCAACATACAGACACAAGAGTTGTATCAATGTTCGCACAACTCTCTGCAAGAAACTAAATTATTTCCCAACATTTCCCCAAACATGATCAGAATTTAAATAAATGAATCCTGAGGTTTCTGTTTCTTGTTTTCCATCTTTTGTAGCAAAGAGGATTACCCTCAATTCATAATTCAATATTATGAGATTCGATCAAATCTAAAGACTTGCAGACAGAACTGCTTTATGTTGCGAAAGGTCCAACATAAATACAGTCTGTTATGAATTATTAAGTTATCTATCTTTGTATTTTATACTGATGATCACACGTTTATCTTTGACTTGCTCAGACCACGATGAGGGATCTGTCCCAGATGCTGAAGAAGATGCCTCAGTACCAGAAGGAGCTCAGCAAGGTGCGTGTGTTTGTTTATATAAGAATGTGTGTGAGTTTTCCTTTGCGTGTAAATGTGTATATTGACCCAACCGTGTGTGTTTTGTGTCTTTCAGTACTCCACTCATCTGCAGCTGGCTGAGGACTGTATGAAGCATTACCAGGGAACAGTGGACAAGCTGTGCCGTGTGGAACAGGTGAGAGGGCAGGCGAGAGAAACGTTTGGGGAATTGTTGCGTCTTTTATAAAGGAGTACGGAGCTCTATATGATGAGCGTCCTGAGAAAACTTATGATGAAGAGGGCATAAAAGAGGAAATGAGGAGAGAGGATAGGAAAGAAAATTAGTCGAGAAGAGGAGAGGAGTGCCAAAGGAGGAAATGATCAAAATGTACTTGACATTTTTCATACAGTGAGTTTGTTCCACACAGATACATTACAGAGTGATTTCTGAAGTCCTCAGTAACTGAAAGTAAGATGCTTTTACATGACTTTTAAATGACAAACACTTGATACCTGAGTTCTCTGTTCCAGGATCTGGCTATGGGCACAGACGCTGAGGGAGAGAAGATCAAAGACCCCATGAGGGCCATCGTGCCCATCCTGCTGGATGCCAACGTCAGCACATATGACAAGATCCGCATCATCCTGCTCTACATCTTCCTCAAGAATGGTAAGGAGGCAACATGAAGTGTCTGTAAAAGCTCAAATTATTTGTAGTTTTACTTGTTTTGTTTTATTGCTTTTTTGCTCTTTATTGCTGTGCTTCAGCTGTTGTCTGATTGCCTTTTTAAATATTAAGGCAGTCTTGAGTGAGTCTGAGTGACTTGTATTTAGTAGTGACTTAGTATTTACTACTGTATACAGAGAGCTTGTAATTGACCACACAGTTTTAATCTGAAACTCTAACATTAGGATAATTTATAGTTAATAAATGCTGGGCCCAATTAGAGCTTCAATAAGTCAGCTGTTCAGCACAGGTCTGTAAAAGATGTTTGACAGGATACAGGAGAGGAGACTCTGAGGTTAGACATCACCTGACATTTCTATACAGCTACTGAATTTAAATAATATACAGTTTTAATAAAATGATTTTATTTTTGCACTCAAGTTACAAAACATGAATTCCCCTTCATCCCAGCACTAGCTGAACATATTAAATGTAAACATACATTTCGTTTTACAGTTATAAGATTTGACCTGCGTGTGTGTGTGTGTGTGTGTGTGTGTGTGTGTGTGTGTGCAGGCATTACGGAGGAGAACCTGAACAAGCTGATCCAGCACGCTCAGATCCCCCCTGAGGACAGTGAGATCATCACCAACATGGCTCACCTGGGCGTCCCCATCATCACAGATGTAAGATTGTCACTGGGCTCGTCTTTTTTTTTATCTTCTTCTTCTTTCTCCTCTGCTTTGTTGTCAGTCTGTGGAGTCATCTCTTTATTTGCAATATATGTACAACCCCCCCATTTCTTTTTCTCTCTCACCCCCTTGTCTCTTCTTTCCTTCATTAGTCCACCCTCCGTCGAGGAAAGAAGCTGGACAGGAAGGAGCGTGTGAGCGAGCAGACCTATCAGCTGTCCCGTTGGACACCACTGGTGAAGGATATCATGGAGGTGTGTTTGAGGGCTTAAATTTACTATTTTATTTATCATATACATGTTTTCTCTCTGTGTTGTTCTCTCTCTTGTTTTTTAAGTCAAATAAACCTAAATGGGAGATCCAAAAATATCAAACTAATTTATCTGATGAGAATTATTTACTTTTCAGTTGATGCGCAACCACAACAACCCTAATCAAAGGTCTGCTTTTCCAGTCTGGTTGTTTTCAACTATATATAGCCCCTTATTTGTGCAAAGCCAATTCTCCAATGGACCTCCATGATGGAGCCACACGTGGTTGCTAAGAGACGTGATGCAACGGTGAAGCCCCTACTGAAGTGTGTTTGCGTGTATGTGTTTAATTAAGGCCGACAATATTGCTGACAAAGATCTGTTTTGTCTTCTCATTTCCCTGCAGGATGCTATTGATGATAAGCTGGACACCAAGCACTACCCCTACATCTCCACCCGCTCCTCTGCCTCCTTCAGCACCACTGCAGTCAGGTACACACACACACACGCACGCACGCACGCACGCACGCACGCACGCACGCAGCGTGGAATCATGTTGTACGGTAGTAGACCTTTTTAAATTGCCAAAACAGAAATGATGGTATTCAATCAATAGTAATTTGGGAAGGGAGATGAGTCTAACGGATCAATACTTGAGAACGATGGAGAGCATGGAGGTGATACTGATGGCTGGCAGGTTAGTGAGTCGTATACAGATCCCACTATTAACAAGAAAGTTTTCACATATGTATTTAATACAAGTTTCCACACTTGAAACTGATGACTTTGCATCTTTTGAAATTATTGATTATCTGCTGTCACAGAAGATTAAAATCAGCTTAATTTGATATATTTTTACACGACATCTAGTCTGAGTAGAAAAGGTGTTATTAAAAAGCTGTTTTTCAGTCACTTTTGGCTGGATATCAGCTTGATATCACCCCTGGAAGCTCTGCCAAAATGTAAGCAAACTGACCTGAATACAAGTCACCAATATTCCCAGCTCCACTTTGTGTGTGTGTGTGTCTATGAGGTGAAGATCTGAAGCCACTTTCAGCTCCACTAATCCTTACACTCCAGTCTGTGTGGAAGCTGCTGGTGTGTATTGATTCAGCATTAAATCCTCTCCTGTTACAAACTGATGTGCCTCATTTGACACCCCTCCCCCACAGATACAGACACACCCAGCACTGAGGATCATACTAGGAAACATGTCGGTTTGTCAAAGGAAAGCTACCAGCAGCAAACATTTGGGATCAGCTTAGCATAATTCAATTAAACTGGTATTTAAGTTGCCTCATCATCCTTCCATAATACTGGTGGTCAAACTTAAGAATTAAAAATGCTGCATTAATATCTGTATTGCAATACTAAACATCACATTTGCAATTTAAATCACAAATAAATACAACATATTAACACTTAAATCAAAAGTATGGAATCTGTTTAGCAGCTGTGTTTTCTGCCTTAGCTTTTATTAATACTCAGTTGTAGCACCATGTATGTTGTTAACACAAATTGTCACATGTATATCAGAATAACTGATTTCTTCCTGAGTAGTCTGCAGGCTGCAGAGCTTCCTGCCAGGGCGTGTACAGCCTCCAACCAAGCTCTACCAATCAAATGGTTAGGAGCCTGTCTGTAGCCTAAAAGGAAACAATGCCTAAGAGGCAAATTTCAGGGAGATAGCTTAACTTGGGGAGCTACCCAGTCCGGGCAGGGTAATTTAGGGACTTTTTTTCTTTTGCATTTTTATCATCTCAGATTATTATCTTTTCTTAGTCAGACAAGAAGTTTGAGTTTCATTCAGACTAGTTTAAAATGTGGACAAATAAAAAATGCACCTCTTTGTGTTCATGAAACTTTGTCCATATTCTGGAAATCATTCTTAATTTGCAAAATATTGTTGTGAGAGAACGGAGAAAATAAATTAGGATGCCAAGATAAGGGGGCAAAATGAGCTATAAAACTGTAATAACATGACCTTGTTTTCTCTTCTGCTCTCGCAGTGCTCGGTACGGCCACTGGCACAAGAATAAGACACCTGGAGAGTACCGCACTGGGCCACGTGTCATGGTCTTCATCATCGGCGGTGTGTCCTTCAGCGAGATGCGCTGCGCCTATGAGGTCACACAGGCCAATGGGAAGTGGGAGGCGGTCATTGGTGAGTAGTGCGACAGGAGGCCGAGAGAAAGAAGAAGGGTTCACATGTGTAGGCTTTGGCACGTGGCTACTCAAAGATACATCCACGGCAACCTTGAACAGTAACTTATCACCATCTGGAAATCTTGTTTGTGCTCACCTCCAGTGGTGTAACTTCTAACTTTGCTGCAGTGATGTACAGGTGTACCTCAGGACACCATGACATCACTGTTGGGTGTGGTTACAGGTTCAACAGAGCACACTTCTGACCACAACCAAACATGCCTATCAGTGACGCAGGGTGTGGTCAGAGGTGAAACACTGCTTTTCAGGCTGGTGTTGAGTAACACAGAGTGGATGTGTCTTTAAGTGGATGTTTTATAGAAAGTGTGAAAACTATTAACAGCTGCGTCCTAAATCAAGGGCCATGTCCTTGAAGCATTTTCAGAGGACTGTGTGAGGTCGGATCAGCAGGCACAGGTTCAGTCTGGCCTTCAGGTCCTCTGAGGGACAGATAAGGACACAGCTTCTGAACTGGGACACAGATAAAAAACATATAAAGATAAAGGCGAGGAGAAACATTGGGGGGAACCACAGGAAGTGAGGTGACTGGACAATCAGTTGTACTTTGTTGAAGCAACCGGAAGTTTAGTTTTTATATTTTTTTTTTACATAATTACAGGAGAAAGTGTATATTCACCAACAAAAACAACAATATCTCATACGGCTGGCAAGCTGGACATAATAACAATAAATTATAGTTATAAGAATATATATATATATATATATTTAATATATATGAACATTCCCTTTTTAAAAACAAAATGACAAATCAAGAATTTATGTTCAGGTCTTAATAAATAATAATAAAACCCACCCAAAACACAGCTCCTGTAGCGTAATTTCCTTTTTGACTTTCATGCACCCCGATCACGACTGAAGAATGTGGACGGTCTAGCTGCAGTTAGCTGTAACAACCTGCCTATTGTGTGTTATGTTAAAATAGCCCTTTATGTTATTCCCCTCTGTACTGTTTATTTGATGTGTTAAAGCTTCGCCAGATAGTCTGTGTTATAAATGGGAAAGTGTCTTGTTAGTTTCTGTTGTGCTCTGCTTCAGCTGTTGTCTTTAAAAACAACTGTTGTCTTTGAATTGCAGCCATGCCATGTCTTCTTTCTGTGTCTGTGCGTCCGAGTTCTATGTGTCTGTGCAACATGGCGAGAGTGTGTATGTATGTGTGTGGGCTGTCAGTGGATGAGTGTGTCTCTGTGCGTGTGCTGTACGACAGGTTGCTTGTTTTTAACCCTTTTTATTTTTGGAGAGAGTGGGGGAGGGGGGGGCGTGGCATGTGCTGAGAGACGAGTGGTGAAGCCACCTCTGTTCCTCCACAGGTTCCACCCACATGCTCACCCCCTCCAAATTCTTATCGGACCTGCAGCACCCCGACTTCCGAGAGTCCACTAGGGTGTCCTTTGAGGACGCAGAACCCACAGCCGAGTGAGGCAGAGACAGATTGGGAGGGAGGGAGAGAGAAATCACACTGAAAAAAGTAAAGGCAGCCGCACAAAGAAGCCCTTTCTGAACATCACAGCACAAGGGCTTCCTCCCTGTTCCTTTTTCTTCTTTGATCACTCAGAACTGTCTTATGTAACTCCACCCTCCTCCTCCCCGTGTCCCTCAGGGATGGGCACCCCCGACCTGTCCTCACTGCATGGGCCGCTCCAATGGGCTCCAGTGCCTGTATACTGAGAGTTAGCGAATCAGAGTGGGAGTCCTGCTATCCAATCAGGAAAGCTGAATCCAAATGTCAGAACTTCACCCCCCTTACAGACCACCGTCCAAACCCACTAGCCATCAAGTCCACAAAAGGGCTCATGTGGACTTTCTGCAGACTTCTAGAGTCTGTTTGGGGTTCAGACTTTCTGATTGAATTACCCACAATTCATTGCAATAGGAATGTGATGCTACGTTTTTTTTAAAGAACATAAACCCTATGAATGTATAAAACACACAACTTGCATCATGTAGATAATATTTAACCAAATAAATTGTATATATATCTGGAGGCAAAAAGTTCACATAAGGTGCATAAAGAAAATGTACATCAGAGGCTTATGTAGCTCTGCATGATGATAGCGAGCACGTTACAGTGCGTACGGCCAAAGTCCTCCGGGGCCCTTTGATTCCGCACATTTGGATACAGCCCCGAGTAAAGTCTGTGCTGAAGAGCGGCCATGTCTGAGGGGGTCGTGACCCCATCCCTGCTGCCTCCTCCCATCATCTCAGCTGGGTGGATTAAATCGCCCCTCGTCAGCCACCCAAAGGCCCTTTGAGCCTGTTGAACACTCACTCCAGATTTAATCTACCCCCGAGATCCATCTTTATCAGTTTTTACTGTCGTATTATTTTTCTAGTTAACCCTTCGCAAAGATAATCACCTTGATTTGTTACTGGTTTCTTTCAGGACAGGTCCTTGAGTTGATGTTGGATTTCAAAGAAGGATTCTCTCCTTTTTTCCTTGTGTTTTTCTTTTTTCTTTTGACTCCCAGTCCTCAGACTCCGTCCATGTCACTCTCTCTCAGCCCACCATCACATGCTCACATGGCTCATGGCTCGTCCGCAGAGGGTGCTAAACATTAGCAACATATCATCCTTACAGGGTGCTGACACACAGGGCAATCATTTCAGAAGAATTCAGTTTGGTTGCCCAAAAAGTTGCCCTTTGTATCACGGCCTCTATGATGCCTCTCTGCTGACACAGAGTCTGGGAATGTAGCAATGTTCCACCCGATATGCTTTAGCAACCTAATAAAAAGCAAAGATGCCACACATGTCCAACAGCTCCCACTAATCCCCCCCCAATGTAGGAGACTCTTAATTTCTTCCAAAACTCATCCTTTACACCAGTCATTAGCACACAGTTAGTTCAGTTCAAACATGAGTAGAACTCGAAAGCACATATCTTCGCCAAGGCTGACCACTCCTCTGAATCTGTTATTTTGATCATACAAAATGTTTAGAGGATGTTAATTTGCATCTGGGTCTACATTTAAATACACACAGCTATAAATGAGTTATGGCCATTTAAATGCAAGCTTTTGCATTTGTGCAGATTTAGCAGGATTGCTCAAAATTGATGTATGCATTAGGGACGTACATCTCCATCACTGAGGCAATGCAATCAGCATCTCAATGCACTGCCAACGACAATCTGAGTCAACACAACGTGATACGATGCTGTGCAATATTTTACTTTTTGGTTCTTAGTTTAGAGAGGAGAAATCAATCGAAAATAATAAAGGCATAGGGCCTCTATTAATAATTATACATCAACTTGTTTTTACCGATGCATATTTTAGAAATGATGCATCCCAAGTTCAACCCAAATTGTATCCAATGCACCTTTTTAATCATGGCAATCGCCTCTTGAACTTTCATGCAATGTGTTGCACAATTAAGAGTTAAGGTGGTTTATTTAAAATACATCCACACCTGCAAAAATTGGCAACTATTTAAAATAAAATGTTATGAAATATGAAAAAAAAAAAAACTAATTAATTTAATTAATTTTAGAGTCAACTAAATATGTTATGTACCAGATTTGGTTTAGACTGCATTAAAAATGGGTAGTGTTGCGAGTTGAAAGAGGAAAAAGCGCAAAAGATACTGTTTGGAAATCAATTAAAGATTTGCTTTGACACCGTCTGCTCCAAAAATAAGTAATTTTCTCGGACCATGGCCAAGCTTTCCAACAAATTTCAACTTTAACATAGTTTTTGAGAAATCCTGCTAACAAACAAACAATGGGAACATTCAAAACACAACCTCCTTTTGCGGAGGAAACACAACCCTTTTTGGATAAATGTCCATGACCACCTCATTGTCTGTTTCTGTATTTTATTAGGAAGGCTACTTTTAAACACACATTCCCATTTAAAGCTGGAGACTCACCCACAAAACATAGACTATTGCAGTCCTGGGCATCCATCTCATTGTCTAACTAATCTGCTAAAGCAATATCGTTTACAAACCAACTTTTGGTTTTATGGTTTTCTCAGTCAGCAGCTCTCACCATAAGCAGTATGGCTTCTCCCCCGCATACTGCTGCATTCAACACTTACTGAGCAAAATGGCCATCACTTACTAAAACAAGTCTTTGTTTTTGTTATGCTGTTTTGATCTAAAACCTAGCCATGTGCAATAATTTAGTGGCGTTGGAGATCAACGTCACAGTGTTGTGTTTCTGGGGCACAAAGGCCCACAAAGCTGTGTGTTTGGGGAACAGCAGAGAAGCAGGCGAGGCCAGTCCGACGTTATCCACTTGACCCACACTAAACCTCCACCCACAACCCCAGACACCTACGACCCCTGCATCACCATAGTGACCCAACTCGAGATGGGCTTGCCTCTTTCTCTTCTGTTTTTACCTTTAACTACCTCCACTTCCTGTTCTGACCCCTCATGGGATAAAGTTTAGTTTTACTGTAGGTCTTTGAGGTAAAGCCGCTAATTCAACCAAACTGGAGGAAAACATGCAGCTTTGCAACAGAAACAAACCAACGTAGGTCAAATACTGTTGATAATGTTGAACAGGTGTGTGGAGTAAACCAAATGGTTTGTTTGCCAGTTGATAAAGAATGAGGATGGCAGTAATCCATCTGTAAATCTGGGAATGAAGCGACAAACAAATCAGGCAAAAGGTTTGCTTTACTCCACTCTCGCACCTTTCAAGTTTTACAATGTCTGAAATGTGTCTTCAGCTGTCACAGCAGTTCATCCCTGTGTTATCAGGGTTACTCAGTTTCACATTTTCATTCATATTTATAGCAGCTGGTAGACCCAACTCTCTGGGTTTGGATTTCATGACATGTAGAGAAAATCTGCTTTTACCATTTTTTGCTGTATTCTTTGCTTTTTCTAGCAGTATTTTTCATGCTCTTTGATTAAAGGCCCACACGGCCATGTGCACACTGTTCTAACACCTGACGGGCTTTGCTGTGGACAGGTTTGGTGTTGCAGGATTTCTACTAGCCGACATGCTGCTTTTAGCTCACAGATTCATGACAGTTGTGAGGTGCCATCACCAATCTGTGTGCTTCCATTATGTTCAGCTGCATGTGATTTACCACAGCTTCATGAGTTTGTATCAGGCTGTACGTTTGTAGAATGAAGGACTCAAAGAGTATTAGTCAGAGGTGTTTACATGGTACTTTACACAGACAAATCAGGATTAAAATATGTTGAATCCAAAACCAGATGGATAGATAATTGGAGCTATAATATAAAAGGAAAAATGTGGACATATTAGGTTTGCCACATAGTCAAGTGAATTTTGAAGACTTACCTCTAGTTTTGGGGATTTCCCACCTTCAGATCAGTTAAAGGTTGGTTTGGATTTTTTGAAGTTTTGTTGTATGAGGTCCTTATCCATACTTAGTCTATTACCTACAGTAGACTGGCACGCCCCCAGTTTGGAGAAACAGACAGAAGTACCAGCACAGAAGCTAAGAAATGTACTGCTGTGGACAGGGGCAGCAACACCAGTTTATACGCTATATTTAGAATATTTCTTTACACTTTACCTTGATGTCAGCCGAACTGCAGAGGAACTGAAGCAGGTATAGTCCTCTCTTCAAAGCCACCAGACTCCAGTAATTGTATCTTGCTGGAGGCCTGCTGACCACTGTCTACTGCAGGTAACACACTATGGATAGGTACCTCATACAATCCCTCCAAGCTAACACTTTAAAATAGACAATGTTTCTCTACAGACTGACAAAAATCTGTTAATGTCTAAAAGTCACTGATGCAAGGTGGTTTTAAGGACATTTGAAAATATTGATAAAAATATTGGTCATTTAATAAGGTGCAGGATAGAAAAACAATACTCAAAGCATTTAAACTTGTGTCTAAGGACAGTAAAAGTATTTTTTAGGACACCTTTTAGAATGAATTTTTCCAGCTCTTTGACACATGATCCATTTGAACCTGCTGGCTAATCGATTATGATTTTATAACTTTGGGTTGCTCAGTGTTTCTATCTTTGTTTTCATCATTACGTGACACTTCCGTCATCCACAGTAGGCATTCATAGCAAGAGCTGAAAACACATTTTTCATACGTTTCTTTTCTCAACGTGCAGATCTAACGCTGTGTGTGTGTGTTTTATGCATGTGCGTGTCTCCAGGATCGACCAACATCTTCACCCCCACCGCCCTGCTGGAGCAGCTCAAGACCATGAACAAACCAGACGAGGAAGTGACAAGCTAAAATCCTCCAATCACATCTCTCTCCTCTTTCCCTTAACCCTGCCCTTCACTCCACCCCACCCCACCCTCTACCCGTCACCCATCTTACCTCTGTATCCTTCCCCCACAAATCTTACATTAATTGTTTATGCATCTTGCTTGAGAAGAAAAAAAAAAGATATCTTAGATGATTAAAAAAAAAAATGTATCAAAGAATAAGAACAGTTGCAAGTATTCTCATGTTTTACAATGGATGCAACTAAATGAACTTATTTAAAAAGGTTTAAATATCAGAACAGAAGGCCATTTAAAACTGAAAGTACCAAAATGTAATATTGTATGCTATGAAACCTGCTAGAATGTGTAAAAGGTAGACATTTTCTCTTGTTTGATCCTTTGGATTTCCTCCTTGGTGTGAGTTTTATTGGAAGCGGGTGGAGGAGGGATGCGCAGTTTGAGAGGTTGATGTCGTAAAATATGTCATATCAGTCAACATGCAATATATATATATTAATATATTCATCAGAGAGGAGCCCCCAAACCCCCCCCATCCATTTGAGATGTTCGTATTCAGTAGCATGCTTGGACTTGTGTGGACTGTTAATGTGTTTGTATCCAGTGTGGATGTTCTGGGAGCTGCAGAGTTGGCATTTAGCTGTTTCCCCAAGATGTCGAGCTTGAATACTCCGCTGAAAAGCTTTGTTTTGAGTATTGAAAAAAGTGGGAAAGCGCGCTTTGAGACTTTTCAAACAACTCCTGAAGAATCTGCACTCTCAGGTGCCAGTTTATGAGGAACAAATCTATGGCCATAAAGTGGTTACTGCTCTCAAAAAGTCCTTGTAATGAGAACATTTATACAAAAATGGAGGTAAGATTTCAGACATTTTTATTTATGTATGTGGAATATAAATTAACTATTCGCTTCCCAGAGTGTTTGATACTCAAAACATACACTTTCAGTTAAGTATTGGTTTAAAAATGCTTGGTTTAGCAGATGTTGGAAAGAGAGTGCTCTGTAAAAAGCCAGAATCATCCCTCCTCCGGCTGCCGAGACTGTAAAGTATTGACTTGCCACAATCTTTTTCCTTTCTCCGGAGAAACTTCACGTTTTAATGTCGAAAAGGCCGTTGCTTGCTGATATTTAATGAATAATCTTAAAAAGGGCCAGTTGTATTTCAGTATTGTATCCTGTCAGAATAAGTCTTATCTTTGGTTAGTAATGATGTTTAATTGGGCCATGCACTGAGTAGTGTTGTGTATCTGCCATATGTTGCTGTTTTAGCGTCTCACTGTTGACTGGTGATATTTCTGACTGTGAAGTAGTGATACTTTTCCTTTATCAATGCCAATGTGAAGCCGCCGTGTTTGTGATGTTTAGCTGTAGTTGTTAGTCGTCAACCGGGAAAAAGAACCAATATCTATATTTTCTTTGTCTGTTTCCTCCTCTGGTGCAATGTAAAACCCTCTAATGGTGAATGGCTTTGCTAAAAAAAAAAAAAAAACCTTAAACCCCCTTTTCACTTTTATTTCCTCCCTCCCTCTTTCCTGGCCAAACAAGTTGTATATTGCACTATAATGCGTTTTCTGTGATGCAAACGCTTGACTTTGTGTTTATTTTTTTCTATTATAATTTGCTGTTGTATAGGGTTCACTCCATCAAATCAATTGATTTATATCAAAATTATTTATCAGAGAAAAGATAATAATGATACATTAGTCTGTCCTAAAACTGTTTAACTTATTGGGATTGTATGTTTGCGAGTGTTGAAGCACAAACAATACTTCCATGTGTACCTAATATGTACTAAGGCTGTCTAATAAATTGGCTTCCATAACATTAAGACTCAACTCTTCCTTTAAATACTAGCTTCACTTTTTAGTAGTTAATGAAAAAGTACAACGACACCAAATGTTCATTTCCACTTTTATTTGGCTGCTTTGGGACCACTAAAAAGATTCCCTGCAAAATATTAAAGTAGGTCTACAGTTTGAGAACCAATGGTACAAAAGTAAAAAGTATTAGTTAATAAAAAACAGAATTCACTTGTAATATCCACAGTTCTTAGTTTCAACTAAATATAAAGCATAACTTTATCTGTAAAATAGCATTATTCCTCTGTTTGTGTTGGCGGTCCCACCTGTATATAAAGATAAAGGCCTATTAAAGACCTTTGGTCTGTGAATGTTTGCTCCACATAAAGCCGGTCAGTTACAGTAGACTTACTTGTGTGGCTCATATAGTTTCAAGCTTACCATAAAATGCCGTACAAAATTCCCAAAACGCCACCATTTAAACTGTGTAGTGTATACATACAGACTGACTTTAACAACATTGAAACAGACTAATTTTGAGGTTATCCAGTATCGCACACAACTCTTTTCATTATATTTTAAAGATAAAGTGTGATGAGCCGTTGACCATTTAAAAAATAGATTCATGGCAGTCTCTTGTGTGACCGTCCAAAGTGGACTCTATCACAACAGGTGCAATGACCGAGTGCATTTCATTTACAGTGCAGCATGCAACTGCAGAAACAAGATAAACCTTTTATACAGCAACTACAATAACACTGTCATCCTGAACTTACTTTCAAACCTATACAAACTAGAAAAGATTATTAAAAAAAGCATGATCAACAAACACAATCACATGATCAATAAATAGCTCAAAATAACTGAGTATTAACTGATTACAACTGTCACTTCAAGACAGCTCCAATGAAGAAGAAGAAACAAATTTATTTACTTCATCGGTTTGAAAATCAATATGATCACATTTATAGCAAACTGATCTACAGTACTACATCAATTTAGAAAGTATGTCATTTCAATGTATGCCAGCACATCTTTTGAAATTATATTATGCCTGCTAAAGAAACAAATTCATGTTTGGCCACCTGAGACTTAAATGTTGCCATAAAATTAAAAAATGACATTTAGCTTCAAAGAAACGTTAGAAAGAAGAGATGGAGTTTAGATTCTTTATTCACTTACTCCTTCCGGCTGTTGGTGATGTCTACAGCCGTAGGGATGCTGGTGTGAAGTAGATGTTGCTGCCTGTGGAGGGAGGTCAGACTAGTAGCTGCAGGACTGAGTCAGCAGCTCCTGGTAGTGCAGTCCAGCAGCCAGAGAGCGAGCCATGTGTCCAGAAGTGTTTTTCATGTGGCGAGCTGCTCTTATGGCTCTGTTCAGAGAGCTGTCCACGGAGCGCTGCTTGTCAGCGGAGAGGGAGCGTCTTGACCTTCCCCTCGCCTCCTCGCGACCTCTGACCCTCGAGGATGTGCCAGTCCTGTTGCTAGGAGACACGTAGAGGGGCGATGAGTACAACCTGTGGAGAAGGTAAGGTTGATGACATAAATATTGAGTATGACAGTTCAGGTTAAACTTATAATGAAAACAGTATGTAATAATGTTATTTGTATTTTGTATGTACAACATTCAAATGAATTTTTCTCTCATGATGAATGACACCAATGGTTCTCAAACTGAGAATTTGGAGTGCCACTGCCAATTAAACTTCAGAAAGAGAAAAAAAAATGTTTCCAAAGACATGATCCTTATTTGTTATCTGAGAAGCATCTTTGTTTTACCAACCTTAGTGTTTTGCAGCTGTGAGGAGTTCCTCTATTTCCTTGGTGTATTGATGCATTGCTGGACAGTTATGTCCATCCACAGCAGTAGTATGTACACTGACAGCTTTCATTTTGACATTTTTCCACAATGTATAGTGTAGTATGTATTGTAGCAGTGTCTCAGCTTCTGCAGACACTAAATTTCTCAAATACAGGTGTCTTTTTGCCGAAGGCGTTATGCTTTTTGTTCAACATATTGCATGTTTTTGCAAAGGATTAAAATGTTGTTTGTTTGATGTCTGACATTTCCTGTTAGTATATTTATTTTTAATAGTTAGTATACAAGAAATCATTTTTTACTTTGACAATTAGTGTGTAGTACATACTGTATAAAACTACTATATAGTATGGAGGTAGGACAAATCATCACTTAATAAGTGAGCCAATGTGAGAAATGTCATCAGGATTGGAGAGAGACCTGTGGATGAACTCAACGTAATGGTGCATCATCAGATGTCTGGTGTGTGAGTGCGTAGCGAGATGGCAGGTTACTCACAGGAGTGGTGGTGGACACACTGGCATGCATTGCAGCAGTGTAGGTGGAGCTGCAGCTGCAAAGTATCTGCTCCTCATCACTCCATCAGGGGACTCTGGTTGGCAGCTTGTGTGTGGGGGGGAGTCTGAGACTCTGCGACAGTCTTTGAATCACAGAGCAGGTCAGGAGCTCCATTAGCACTTCAGATAATTAAACTCATTTCATTTACTGCAGACTGAACTGATTCATGTGCTGAGCACAGTGACTCTACAGAATCTTGTGCTGCTGATTCAAAACAACTGTTTAGAATCAGAAGAGGTGTGAACTGTTCACACCTCTCTACTGTAACAGTAAGCATTCAAAACAGCTTTGATCACACAGTCTCTAACCTGGTTCAGTGCTTCTGAACGGTTCAGGGCATCCACAGAGAGGACAGTGACGGCAAAGAGAGGAATGAGTTGGCTCTATGTTGCCACCACCTGGCAGCAAGAAAACAAACAGAGTCAGGATTTAAGGAACAACCACTCAAGTAGCACAATTAATGAGGACAAAACTGCAATGCTGGTTTCAAATGAATTAGGAACAAAAGTGGATTTCAGGCTCTTTGCCTGAACACAAAAACCTCCTTACCTTTAGGTCGCCCTTGGCGACGTGACAAACATTGAGGACAGAGAGGAGCTTGATGACTTCTGCTGTCAGGTTCATCTGCTGTCACACCAGGATGCTGCCCTGCCACACACACACACACACACACACACACACACACTCATCAGTCTGTTTTGGCAGATTTTCATCAAAAATACATTAATCAACACCTTTAATTAAAAGTCTGTGCTGACATAAGAACACGGAGCTATGAATTCACAAGTAGTCACATTTCTGTGTGAGTATCTATGGAAATATAATCGTGTCTCACACATTTTAGGAAAGTATTGGGAAGCTGGTGAGGACAGGAGAGACTGAAATAAGTTATAAAAGGAATGTTTTCACTAGCATGTCCTTGCAAGCCATTACAAAAGGGTAAAACACAGCATTACGATGAAATAAAATGAATTCTGCTATATGTTTTGTCAGATAACTGCTTGCTATTACTGTGGTCTCAATCAATTTAGTGCTCAGTCTCATGTATTTCTGTTCTGGGATGGATGTTCTTACTGGGGTTTCTGCTGCGGACAGTTTTTGTGCATGAACTGTGGCTGTCTGGTGCTGTAGTGGATGTTTGAGTACATCTGGATACCAGAGGCTGAGTCTGTGGTGTAGATGGCTCTGATGTTGTCACTGAAAAGAAAAACATTACATGCATTAAATGATGTATTTTTCAAATTACATGATTTCTAAGAATGAATGGGCTTGCTTATCAAAGTGTGCTTGCTTATCTTCATCATTGTACACACACCATTTAGTTGGGGGCTTATGTGCCATTATTTAGACTAAACCTAAGACATGTACAAATGTAATCTGTTATCATTTAGGGCTCATGTAATAAACTGTCACTTGTTTATTCATCTTGTCCTTCATTGAAGGAAATAATCTGCATATATGTTTGTAGCAGAATTTGGATTATACAAAATCTTTGAAGAAAAGCTCTTGAGTTAAGGGTCAACTAAAAATTCAGATGAACTTACAGATATCAGGTTGTGGTCGTCTGTGTGCAGAAGGTGGTCTCTTCCGGGTTGTTCGTCTCAGTGTAGACTCCTCAACTTCATCAACGGTCGGTCTGTCTCTTCTTTCCCTGCTGACATCACTGCATCGCTCCCCAGACCTAAGCAACGGGAGAAACCAAACTAAGGTAAAACCTTTGTGGTAGTTAGCTCTGTGCTGTAGCCTCACGCTGCAGACAGCAGTGTTCTTGAAGGAAGGGGAGACTGTGTGGTTACACCACCTGACGTGAGGTGTAGAGGTGATGTGGCGAGTGTAGTTCTCCTGAGTTGATGGAGCTGCTCTCACAGAGCTTGGAGCTTTCTTATTTCTCAGACAGCTTTCTAGTCTCTCCTTCAGTCTGTCGACCTCAGCCTGCAGCGTCTGGATTGCTTCACTAAAAAAAACACACAAAAAAAACGTTTAAAATCACATGAAATAATTCAGCTGGGGGTCACATTTGCATATTATGTTCCAGTTTTTTCACCACCACACGTATCCAAGGTCAAACAGCAGTAAAGTCAGCAGTAAATGTGACCACTGAAGTGCTGCACTGTGAAAATTCAATTGACCAAATTTCCAGGTGACTTCTATGCAGGTGACAGTTCAAACGTACATACACACACTCTTTGAAAAGAGTCATGCAACACCACACCATGCAGGACACAATACCTCCTATTATGCAACCATATTCAATAGCAGCCGATTCTGAAATAAAATACATAAAAGAATATGATGATAGAAACATTACGAGTGGTTCATGAGATGTTTGGCTTCATGTTGCATGGTAAAAAGAAGAGTTATCAAGTCAATTTCAGGAAATACCTGAAAATATAATTTTCATCAGTCAGTTGAATATTTATATTTCCATCCAGGAGTCTCTGCAGGGAGACATAAACCTTGCTTTGTTTGCACGACTATCAGCACTGCAGCTGCTGCTACACACACTCACTTGCGATTGGCCACCTGACTGGAGCTCAGTGCTCTGAGAGAATCGCCATGGTGACGCCGGGAAGTGGGGGAGGAGCTTGGGCTGGAGCTGTGGAGGGAATTGGATGATTCTGTGTACTGGTCATTCTGTCCGTCTTCAGACATAGTGTGTGCTGCGGAGACAAAAGGAGGACAGTAGGTTAAATACACAATAAAAGAAAGAACTAAAAAATAAGAGTAATAACACAGTGAGACAGTAACAGGCCCTGACATTTATAGATTTAAAAAAACATTTTGTTTCTATACTGCCAGTACGTGTTTAAAATTACAACAATCTCAGTTGATGGACAGAACATGGAGACTCACTGCTGTCACTCTCCAGCCCAAACTCACTGGTCCCACTGTCGGCCCTGCTTCGTTCTGTCTGACCGACCCAGCGCTGTGGAGAGCAGGAGAAGGTGCGTCTCCTCTGCCGCTGTCTTGTTCTCCTCAGCTGGTCGGAGATGAGTCGGGAGTCCCTGCTGGGCTCTATAGCCGTGTGTCTATGTGATGCCAAAGAGGTAGGAGATGGTGCTGAGACTGGGCCTGTGTGAGGCTTCCCAGGGATCCCCTCCTGAGGCATCAAAACCCTGTTGCACCATGGAAGAATATTCAAACAAACACACATACAAAGACAGATCAGAAATGGTGTGTGTGTGTGTGTGTGTGTGTGTGTGTGTGTGTGTGTGTGTGTGTGTAACAGAGGTGGGGGATGGCGCATGGGGTAAAATTTATGGTGTAGTAAATCTGTGTGGAGGCACAGAAGCAGTATTGGACTTCCTCACCTCTCTGAGGCCCTCTGGTGGAGAGGACTTGGAGCTGCTGCAGGAGTCAGACGGCTGCTCTCTGAACCGACAAAGCCGCTGTCTGTCTCCGGAGAGATAATCCCATCCTGGTCAACACAGCACAGAATGACGATTATATAACATTTAACTATACACATTCTAAATTTAGAAACAGCATTGTTTGTTATACAGCACAGCTTTCTTTGTGAAATCTGTACATGTCTTTTAATGCAAAAACATTCATACACTGCATTTGTGTTGTTTTAAAAAGCAATAAGAGAGGCTGTTACACTGGTTTCAAGAAGATACTGCTGAGCATATATCAATATCAATGCTTTTCAGGCAACCAAATCATGAGATTACTTGTACATGACTGCTTGTCAGCTGATTGTCTAGTGGCTAAAAAGGTACATGGCAGCTCAGTGTTTTTGCTTTTAAAACAACTCTATTAACAAACATAATCATTGTTTGGGGTTATTAATTAAGCTAATATCAAAACTTTTAATAATTAAAAACATATATTAGGGAGGAAGAGTATTTTGCAGATTTAGTGTTGATTTATTTTCAAGCTTATACAGGTTAAATGAATCATTTCATTTTCCTTACAAGTCAAAAGTCTCTTAGCTCACGTCACAGAATTTAAGATTCAAACATGTTTCATGCAGGTATAGGTGAGTATGGCTAGTCATGATTAATTTGAATGTGCAATAAATTTAGCTGTATTTCAGGAACAAAGCTTCAATGAGATGTACCAATATCTTGATGATAGGAAAATGAAAGGAAATGTTTCAATATATCTGAACGCTAGTATCAAAAACTCAAAAACTACCAGCAATTTTAAAGCATGATTTAGGAATCTGTAGATTTTGAGGCTCAACGTCCCGTGGCCTAGACTCAGCAGGATCAAACTTGACAGACAGTTATTTCTCAATATAAACTGACCTGAGAAAGTACTCTGCTGCGTGCAGGTTGGAGTTTGGAGTTCCTCCTCTCCAACGCAGTGATCTCTCCCAGACTGCTCAGACTGCTGCTGTGGGACTTTCCCAGCTCTAACCTCCTTTTGCTGCTGGTAGGATGAACAGGGAGCGTTGTGGACTGGCTGGAGGCCCTACGTGATGGACGACTGGACCTGCTGGTCTGCTGTTTGCTGGTGCGAACAGGAGGAAAGTCCTGACAGTCTGATTTCCTGTCAACAGAAAAGTATAAATAATTTAATTCAGCTGAGTTACTAAAATGAGCCTCCCTTCAAAAATAGCTTTGTATGTACTTGTTTGTTTGTATTTATTTATGTCTAATCACTTATTTTTATCAAAAATGTGTCTGGGGTAGCAGTATAATTTTACCATTCAAGATTTTAAAAAGTATATATTTAGACATGAAAGTAAATATTTTTAGACACACAGAGCTGCAAAGACCAAGGACAAACATCAATGTGCTGCTGATTAAACTACAGCTCATCTTGTCTGTTTCTCTCAAAACTAACGTCTGTGAACGACTCCTCTGGACTTCCAGGTTTCCAGTTCCTTGACTCAGTCTCCCTTTGTTCTCGTCCCCAGGATGCTTGTCGGTTCTCACGGCAGCAGAAATGAGAGCTCCGTCCTTCTGGCTATGGTCTAAAAGTTTGGGAAGCTCCTTGAAGCTTTGGTAGCTAAACAGAAGGAGGAAAAACAAACAGGGTGAAATAATCAAAGTCCAGACTGCAGGCTGAGTTCCTGTCAAGAAAGAATATCTCCTAACATTAATAAAAGTCCTTCCACGGCAAAGATACTGATAGTCACTCTTCACATTTTTTTTCAAAATTAACAATTTAAAATATAAACATCACCACTCACTCATCCATTAGTTTGGCAAAGTCTTGTTCAACACGTCTGTTTTTGCCATTCGGAGGTTTGAGGTAGAGAGAATTCAGAGTTTCTTCATCACTCTCTTCACTGGCTGAGCTCACCTCCACCGCCGCTGCCTCTCCTGCATCAAGCAGCAAAGGCACAGGTGGGCTCTGGAAGGAGATGAAGTTAGATCATTATATTAAATCTGATGTGGCTGCAAATACGTCCGGTCATTTCATTTTCTTTGAGTTTAATTAGCCTTTTTTAAGACTAGGACTGATTTTGGAGTCACTATGCAGAAGAAATCATTTTTTAGCATAACACCATTATCTTTCAGTGAACTAATCTTTACGGATCAAGCAGCAAATAAAACCAGATGATGACTGATCTTCTACTCTATATCATCTTAAATCAGCACCAGAATTTTCATTATTGATTAATTAAGTCAATACATTTTTTTATCATAAAATTTCTTGGTTTATAAAATATCAGAAAATAGTAAAAAAATATCCACCACAATTTTCTTTTTTTTTTCCCCCAAACAACACAGTACTGTAGTATAGTTTTGTTTTCACTACAAATTAAAAGTCAAACTGATTTTCTGTACAGTTCAAGGACAGAGTGCATTGCTACTAGAGAGCTGTTTGATAGTGGTACCTGTGGGTGAGTCAGAGTTTCTCTCCTCTCAGAAGAGACAAGTGAAGGGGTAGAGTGAGGAGGTGTAGAGGGAGGACCCTCACAGGTGGGCTGCTCCTGTTGCATCTGTTCTACCTGCTCCTTCAGCTCATCCATACGCAGCCCACACTGAAAGATCAGCCCCTCCAGCTCCCTGATACATACACAAACATACAGGCAAATATAATGAAAACAGTAGGAACAACTGAGTGCACATTGAGTACATGATATAGAATGTAATCTGTGGCGTATTCATCTTGAACATCACTCTCACCGTTCAGGGTCAAAGTTGCTGATTTGTACCCCTCGTTGCTGCAGGAGCTTGTGCTCATCCCTCGCTAAAAGGTAGCCCCTTTCTAAAGAGTCAAGCCCCTCAGCAAGCTGTGGCAGACCCTGAAGAAGAGTGTTGGTTCATTAGTTTGGATAATTAGTAGAAATAAATGATTACAGTCTTAAACCATGAGTTGTTGTTCTTACCTTCACCTGTTCAAAAGGTTTGAGCTTCTTGCACTTCAGGAGATCCTCAAAAGTCTGCAACTGAGTGAAGAACACCAAAACCTTTATCTGTGATTACTTTCCTAAGTTACATCATAAAGCAAATGTATGGATTTCCATCCTTGTTGATAGTTTGAATAGGTTCTTTACCTGCTGGAGGAACCTGTCAGCCTGACTGTAGAGAATCTTGGCTGGCTGCTGTCCCACCAGAGGGTCTGGGCTTCTTGTGGAAGAATTGGCAGATGAATTTCCTGTTCATTTGACAGACAAGCAGAGTTGTTGAAATTACAACATTTAATTGTGAAAGCAAAGTGACTCGGAAATCTGATCATTGATTTATATGATGTATGATCCATGAAATGATGAACTTGACAGCAAAGGGTAAATATTGAATAGGATGAATGTACTCTGATGATTGCTGTGTCCATTAGAATGAAGTGAGTTTGAGTTGATCACTGCTCTCTGAGCCTGAGGAAAATCCAGCATCATGATCCTTGAGGCCTCCTGGTTCATTCCTGACTGCACCGAGTGGCCAGGCTTCGGAGGGTCAGAGTACAGGTTCACCTGGTGGAGAGATGAAAATGAACATATCATGATCTATTTTATCATTGGCTCACCTGCTTACTAAGTCTGGTAATATATTGGCACAGCTTTTTCACTCTGAACATTTCTGTAGAAAAAAATCTAATCAAACCACTGAGAGATGATCAGATTCAGCTGGAATAGATAGATAGATAGATAGATAGATAGATAGATAGATAGATAGATAGATAGATAGATAGATAGATAGATAGATAGATAGATAGATACTTTATTTATCCTGAAGGACATTCAAGCATCCAGTAGCAGCATACAAACATACATTAGACATACATTAAAATTAAAATTAACCTATAACACAGTAGCCATACATTAATTTTATAAAAATATGAAATACAACTGCAAATAGGGATAAACATACAGAAAGCCGACATCCCCATCTAGTGTCCTAAAGTCGTATGTTTTCAGTTTCTGTCTTTTCTATCTTGGGTTTATTAAACAGCAAGGTCATTTCAGTGGCAGAAAATACTGCTGTGTGATAAAGGGGATAAACACATACACTGGGTGGTCACCCCTCCCCTCCCGGTAAATACACACTAATAGAGAATGAATGAATGAAAATGAGACTAAATGGATGCCCCTCATTGATAAGCCCTCTAAGCAGTAAATCATAATGACCTTAAAGTGACCTCAACAGTCCCTTTAACACACAAAAACAAACACACACACATGCGCGCGCACACACACACACACAGCTACTTACTGTAGGTTGTTGGTTTTTTGCCTATGATTACTTTCAGTTTGTTTACAGCTAAGAGTGAAGACACCTAAAATGGGTCAGAAAGATGTAAATAACTACACTAAGATCTTAAATCAGATTAGAATTATCAAGCCTCTGATAAACTGGAGAGAATAAAAGATTTTGTTTATACGTTTGTTAATCAAAAGCTCAAGAAAATTGCAGTTCAGTATAAAACATAATTACTTTAATTACTTTACCTTGTAATAAGGAAATGATGATGAGGATGTTGCATTTCCTAGTGTATAGAAAATTAGTCTGACAGTAAATTTCAGTGTAAAGTCACTCCTCCCAACCCGCCTGTGTGATGCTGTACATGCAGAGGGAGGGGGAGACAGATGGTGGTTCAGTGTTGTGGTGAAGGAGATGGAGGAGAGGCGGGGAACTCAGTAAGCTGATTTTAATCGGTGCTGATTGTGGAGCACACTGCTGCTCCCAACAGAAATAGGCCAATAATTCTTAAATGGAGGTACTTCACAACACCCTAGCTCTCCTGTCTTTCCTGCCCCCTCTTTTCTTTCTTATCCCACTTTTCTGAGATTTCTAATCATTCATTCTGACGTACTGCTCTGTCTGTGCTGTGCTGACAATGTCTGGGCCTGGCCTGTTGGATCTCTATAGGTCTGTCCTGCAGAAATAAAGTTGAGGAATAAAGACACACAACAACCACATAAATATGTGAACAGCTGAAATTAAATAATTTACATCTGTGACTTTACTTTATAAACCTTTTTTTTAAATGCCCCTTCATTAGCTTCTTCTTTGTACTTTTACCCAAATTATTAGGCTGTTGTTGCTCATTTGATCTTATTTTGGCTCCTATTGCATGGCTCGAATTTGTGTATACAAATACATAATCATTATATCTTGATGCTAGAACCCTCTAAGATAATCATATCTCTCCCTTTTTATTCCCATACTTGGTGAAGGTGACCCTACACATAAAAAGCAGAGAATATTGCTGGGTAATGCCTGTAATAATGTCTACAAAGATACCAAAACAACAATGACGGAAAGGGAATGAAATGATCTAGGGGCCATTTAAAGGCCCTGAAATGAAGGAAACACGCAGTAACAGTTTGTTCAATAGATGGATCATTTTTATCAAGCATAGTATCAAGCACATGTAGAAAACACGCACAAAGAGAACAACTGTCATCAGCTGAAAGGGTTTGGTCGGTCTTTACTGTTGACTGTTTTTTTCTTTCATTGGATTGTGGTCTTGGCAGGTTATTTTAGAGGAGCCTTTCTGTTAGTTTCCTAGTATCCTAGACTCTCTGTACTCACTGGATTTGATCTCCAGCTCTTCTCTCTTTTTGTGCAGTCTGTGTTTGCATATAAAACAGTAACTGTGTATAACGCCTTTAATGGGAATATCAGAGATCAAACGGCTGATCAAAAACACTTTTGTTTTATATGTCGCTTAAAATTAAATTATATTTCAAAAATAATGTGCTTTCACTGCTGTTCCGTTATTTAATGAAAACAACATCATTGTAGAAGTGAGTCAGGTATTTCTTTTAAACATGTATACATGCCCTCCGTTTAAATAAAAAAACTGAATTTAATAATGTTTGAGAAAATAAACGGTCCATCATTTTAAATTATTCTCACAACATGGAGGAGTTATAGTGGATTTCAATTTGAGACCAAAGATTAATCTGTATGCCGCTATGCACTGTTTTTCAAAACATTGCACTATAGCACACCATTAAACAGTGATGAATTAAAGCCTGATTTCTGGATTAATTACCTTTCCTTCCAGACGCAGACGATCAATGGTGTTCTCCGCTTCGGCGTACTTAGTCAGCAGCGTTTTGTAGTCCTCCTGCAGTGAGAGGAGCAGGAGAGGAAATAAGAAAGTTAGAGGAAGGTAAGAAAAGAAAGAGAGTGCAGAAGGGGCATGTGAGGTGAGAAAAAAAGGGAAGAATGAAAAAGAAAGAGACGAGAGCAGAGTTGGAGAAAAGAGGGCAGAGAGAATGGAGCAGGACTTAGGTATTGTTGGGTCTTATTCATAAGTCTGTCACAGATAAATATAGTAGATGAAAAATTAGTGTACACCCTGGGGATGTTTTTTCATTGTTTGGGCCCCTTGGTTTCAAGCAGTAAAGTAAAGTAAGTAAAATCTTAGTACCACAGGAAACAATTATATTCCAGACGGTAGTGTGCTTCCAACTTTGTGTCAACAGTTTTGGTAAGCCTGTGCTGAGGCAAAGATGCAAACCACTAATATTTTGAGCAAATAAAAGAATCTTTGGGGAAATGTGAAAAAGCCTAACACACCAAAAGTGTATCATAAGCTCATTGTTCAAATTTCTACACAGAATCAATTCATTCTAGCAGCTTGTATCACTATCATGTTTGCATTTTGGCAACTTTTGAAAACTATTAAGGCTTAATTGCTTCTTCTAAGCATACTAGATCAGTCCAGTGTTTTTCAGACTACATCTATACAAAACTGACTCCTTTTGAAAATAGCGTTTTCTTTCTCTCTTTCTATCTTTGTACCTGTAGTTGTTCAAGCAGTGTGGTGGCGTTCCGCCGGCACCTGAACTCCTCAGGCACAATTGAGTCTGGGGCATTGGCTGGTGGTCTGTAAGAGTCTAATGGGGCAGGAGATCCATCAGTGGTGTTCAGTAGGACTTCTTTCACTATGTCAGCTGGGGATTTAAACATCAAGGGGGGCTCAGGTGAGAGGGACTCCCTCTTGGAAGAGCACCTGCTCTTGGGGGGCTTGTAACCACCTTTAGGGAAATGGACCCTGGGCCCCACCTTGGAGAAGTCTGGTGTGCGGTAACTCAGAGGCCCTTTTCTAGAAATATAACAAAATTAATGGTTAGTGTTTTTTATGCGGGAAAAATTACAACATGAGGTATATAAATTGAGGAGGAAGGACAGATCAAAGCTATGCGGATGTGGCTCACCTGGATTCATCCAATTCAGCAGCATTACTCCTGGCCGGAGGCCTCTTCAGCTCTCTGTCAGGACTTGTGGTCTGATGTTTGAATTTTAAAGAGTCATCCTTGACTCTGCTAAGGGAACAAGGTGAATAGGTAACTTCAGGAGAGGGCAGCCTAGTCTTCCTTGGTGAGGGAGTGGGCTGTTTATGAGGCTTATGGGACTTATCTGATCCATTTAAAGGCCCAGTACTTACTCTGCTGTAATGATCAGACATGACTTCTTCAGAAAATGTGGCTTCTGGCTGAAGAGCCTTGAGCTTAATCTCGGGAAAAGGACTAGACTTGAGGCTGACATGTGATGACATGTGGCTCCTGTGTGATTCTGGAAGACTTTCTATGGAGCTCATCTCTGGAAAAGTTTCAGCTTCAATCCCTGGAGCAGCAGCTATTTCCTCAGCAGTGAAGTGGAGAAGGTGGGGGAAAGTGGGGGCTGTGACATGCGAGGCAGGCTGGGATATTGGGCAGTGATGATTGGAGACTCCAGCAAGTTCCATGGCTGTAGAGCTGATCTTCTCAGTCTCTCCTTTGGAAATATAGCTCTCAACCACGCCATTCGTACTTCCAAGCTCTCTTGATGTGCTCCTCCTCTGCCTCACCTCCTCATCCAATGTCTGTGCTGTTAAGCTGCCGATCAAGTCATCAACTGCCAAAGACACAGAGAGAGAGAGGTTTCAACACAGTACAAGCATCATTTAGTAGATCTGAACGGGAGGGGTAGAGCAAAGGGAGACTGGCGACTAAACTAGTAAGACACAATGTCCTGGTCATTTTCATTTCATTTTCATGAGTTCATGAGCTCAAACATGTAAAACAAGTTGCTCCTTTAAGTGCATTAGTACAGGAACTACAACATTAAAACTTGCTAAGAAATAATTCAGCCAAAGTTAAAGGTCCAGTGTGTAACATTTAGGAGGATATATTGGCAGAAATGGAATATAATATTCGTAGGTATGTTTTATGTATGTATGTATGTATGTATGTATGTATAATCACCTGAAAATAAGAACTGTTGTGTTTTCGTTACCTTAGAATGAGCCTTTTATATCTACAGAGGGAGCGGGTCCTCTTCTACAGTGTTTTTACAGTAGCTCAAAACAGACAAACACTGGCTTTAACTTTCACGTTTTTCATGAGTTTAGTTTCTCCTACAGGAAGTTGCAATCAGCAACTACACCGCTAGATACCACTAAATCCTACACACAGGTCCTTTAAATAAATTAAATGACACATAATCAAAGACTCACATGGTGACAGTAGTTGTACATTCCGTCCTAGTGATTCAGTATTGGACAGATGTTCACTCAGGTTGTAACTTAGCTCCTCAGGTGACGTATTCCTCTCCTGCCTTCTAAAGTCCGTCTCCTCTGGGTACAAGTTTGGATCACATTCTGCATCAGTTTCCCCCAACTCCACATCCTCGAGTGCTTCAGACAGTCCGATGATGCCATTTTCATCCATCTGGTTGACAAAGTCATCATCTTTCTCTGCCTGTTCTTCATCCTCATCCTTCCACACATCCTCAGATATTACAGAGCTGGTGCTTGAGGTGCGGACCGGGGCAGGGGTCCAGAAAAGAACCCCTGTTGTGGTGCTCTTTCCTGTCTCCATTCACCTTGCAGCCAACAGTTGCCTCCTTCAGGTCTCAGCTCTAACCTCAGTTACTGTCTCAGCCGGGAACAGGAACCTTCTGCATCTTTTCTTGTTGACCTGGCTCTGCAGTGAGGTCCACATTCAAAGCCATGGCTGCAGAAATTTATAGATTGCAGGTCATGTCCGTAAGCTGCTAACAGTCCAGGGGTACAGCTAAGGAGGACTTATCAGTCAGTCTTCAGTCTTGAGGAAGAGATCTCTTTGCATACAGTTCCTGAAACACACAATAGTAAAAAATGTTAAAACATTAATCTTAGACAGAGTTCTCCAGAGGAAATTGAACAAGAAAAACAAACAAGTACAAGTTAATAAAAAAAATCCTCATGGTGTATAATGAAATATATCATTATTACCATAATCCAACAGGCTACCAAAACATTGTTTTTAACTCCAACTTTAGCAGTAAATGGTGATAAACTGTGCAGTAACAACACACTAAAACTAAAAAGACCTGATAAACCAAATGATTTATCGGTCCATCAAGACAAAAGTGGCCGTTTTAATTGACAATGAGTCAATTGCAACAGCCAATTGCAACCCTACAACAGACAAAAGAAATTTGCAGCAGAATATGCATGTCTGTGATTTGATTCCCTTTAGACTGTGCTGCTAATGATTTAGGGGTGCGGAGTCATCAGTCTGTCTTTTTACTCACACACAGCTGTTCTCTGTAAACAAACATCTACACTCCATACATCAGTTCCTAACTATGTGTCCCACTGCACACACTACATCTCTCATAAATATTATGTGTATCATTCTACAACAGGAGGAACTGCAGCTGCGTAAACTCCTAAGGGGGCAATAAATGGGATTAAATGCTGTCAAGGACAAGCAACCGTAACAAACCAAAAGTCAATGCCATGCACATCATGAAAAACAAATATAATTCACAGAAAATCATGGTAGTGTTTGAATTTTTCAAGACCGGTCGAAACACTGATTTTCATTTTGAAGCATTGAGATCAGCTGTACCCTTTAACCATTTGGCTTCCATCCCATTCACAGAAAAGTATTACTGAGAGGCCAGGTAGTGGTGGATCTGAGCATTTATAATTTTCATAAATTAATATAACAGGTGTCAAGACAGAGCTGTGGAAGGTGGATCAGGTGGACTGGTGGTCACAAACTTCTACAACAGTGTAGATACAGCACAAACCACTCTGACTGAATGTGACACTGGTAATTGTATTTATTTGTACAGTTAAATTATTTATCACATATGACTGCATACTTTGGCAAAGCACAATCAAGCAGCCAGCTTGAGGTTGTTTTAAAAGAAAGCTTCAGGCTACTGATTCATCGCTTTGAGTTGTGTAATGATTTTTTTTTATATCTCTCAATAATATAATAATATATCTAATGTGCACTTGTTTTCAGCAGTGTCTATGTGATAGTGTAAAATAAATGTAATTTGTTTTGATTTGAGTGGGTTTTTGATTTTGTGAAATATAGCAATTCTGAAAACACTACTTGATTTATTGATAAGTTCCAGATACTTGCTTGTTCATCATCGTAAACTGAAAATCTTTAGGTTCTCCAAAAATTGCCTGGATTAGACAAGCAATTTGAAAAAGTCAACTTGTGCTATGGGACATTGTGAATGACATTTTTCACCATTTTATAGATTAAGGATTAGTTTAAAAATAATATAATAATTAAAAATAATTTCATGTATGCATTAGTTACAGCCTTAAAATTAAGAATTATTTCAGGTAATAAACTTAAGACAAAAAATATATGTTTCCTGTGTACGTTCCTGTGGGTTATTTTATTCATCATGCACTTGGATGTAGTAGTGCTGCTGATATTACATTTTGTCTGACACAGGTGCAACACTCATTTCCAAGGTGACATGAACTCTGTGATAGTCTACAAAAAACAGCATTCATTTTATTGCCCCCTGCTTAAATACCATGCTATCTGGTTGCATCACTCAGCATTTATAGTTCTTTATTACAGAAAAGCAGTATTATACATGTAAAAGCTCGGATTAGAGTGCACTTTCACAGTGTCACATTAAGTCCCCCAAGTATTTGCCTAGAGCTGCAATGCTCACTATGGCAACTCCACAACATGAACAAGAGCTGTGCTTTTCAGCATCTGCAATAAAACATCTCTGACAGGTCTTCACATACTGTGTTACAGCTACACTGTCAGTCCCTCAACCCAAAACTGGCCTGTTACAACGCTACAAAGAGGAACACCATTTAATTCAGGAATTTATACATTCTTATAGCCTCTAAAAAGCCACATAACCAAATTCTCAAACTTCATCAAAAGAGTTAAACTCTATCTCTATATAAACTTTAGAGGACTTTTAGAGGGCTTCAGCAATAATGTCACATAATGTAATTATTATCTTAATCACAGTGTATTTCCCTGAGATCTGCGCAAGTGTACACTTTGATGCAACATCACTTTGATGGTGGCTGACAAACCACCTGTTTCAGGGATCCAGCATTAATTATTATTATAGTTATAAATATAGATGATTATACTTATTTAACAAGACATGCATTATACCATTTGAAAAAAAGCAAAAAGTACATTTTGTACAGTAGCTACTCATTAGGAAAAGTGGTCCGCATGCATCTTTTTCTTCTTTCATCAATATCCCAGATTACCGCAAGGAGATTATTTGCCTGGTGCTTCTTACAGTGTCTTTTATCTGACACACACACACACACACACACACACACACACACACACACACACACACACACACACACACACACACACACACACACACACACACACACACACACACTAGGACTCAGGAGAGTATGTTTTTTGCTCACAAATCCAGACACTCCCATGTGCAGCCACAGACACTTGTTTTGGTTGTGTCAGAAACAAACACAAGGCTCAGTGTGTAGGACTCTCTCTACAACCCTTTCATACACAAATAGGCAGTGAGTCTCCACGCTGGTTAACATGGCTAACTCACCATGCATTTAAAGTGGACCACAAGGAATGAGAGCACACAGCTCAGCGGATAACCAATGTGAGAGGAAGGTTTAGAAAAACAATAAACTTCAGAATAGAAAGAGTTAGAGCTAACAGTATAATTACCAACCACCACTTATTTTATTACACACACCTGTGCTTTTTCTATTGTGAGCTGTTAAAAGGTCCTCTGTAAAAAAAAGGCCTATACCCAGCCTGACTCCTTACATATGTATACATCTGTTTTTAACTAATAATATAAAAAATATTATATAAACATATTGAAAATGCTGCTATTTGCTTATATTTTAATGACATTAATAATAATACCAGTGTTCTTTAATTTCAGTAAACCTTTGAACACAGGACTTTTGCATATTATTGTATTGTGGTATTTCTACTTCTACTTAAGTAAAGGTTGTGAATACTTCTGTTTGGTAAGAATAAAGCAAAGAAACAACTCACCTGTTGCTCTGCTCATGCTCCCTGTTCATTCCTACAGGAACTAAGGATTTATCTCAGCTGCCAGATGGGGGGAATAAAGCTGCTCTAAAGCCCTCACAGGGGGCTTCACCGATTGTAAACAGACAATGATCATCAGTATCCATCCAGGACAGGAGGCTAGCTCAGCTCCTCACAGACAGACACATACACAAACGGCAGCAGGGCGGTAATCACCTGACTGTCAGGCGAGCTAAGGCTGTATCCAGGATGGACAGGTGGGGTGTAGGTGTAGGAACAAGAGACGGAAAGCAGGAAAGACAAAAGAGAGAGGGAGAATTTCTGCCAGGCTCTGTTATTCCCGGTCCCGCCAAAGCAATCACAAAACCAGACAGCCCAGCCAACAGGGACACTACACGGACGTTCAGTGACAGCGGCTGAATTTTGAACACAGAGGAGTGTAGCTGGAGCCGAGGCTGGCAGAGCTACAGTGAGCTGTTCAGGATGGCCCAGTGACTAAGATATAGGACAGCTAATCTGCTTAGGAGGCACAGAAAGAGCTGAGGACATAGTGTGCACTGGCTGTACAGAGGGGACTGGTGAGAAGAGGCACCGAACCGTACAATTATTTTATATATACTCCTGAAATGATTAGCAACAAATCAACAATGTCAATAATCAATTGATCATTACGTCATTCATCAGCCAAAAATGCCAAATATTCTCTGGCTACAGTTGGAATGAAAGGATTTGCTGCTTGTAAATATATCATCTTAGGCTTTTGAACAAGCTATTTGAAGAGGTCAACTTGGCTCTGGGGAACAGTGGTGGGCATTTTTCACTAACTGACATTAAAAAAACTCAACATGTTAAGCATTATGATAAACGTGAATATACAGAAACAAACACAGAAAATCTATTCTAAATATTATAGTACTAAAGTTTTAATTGTATGCTCTTTTCCTATTTATTTTTAAGTACTGTGATCTGCATTTTGTGTATGAAACATCCACAAATAAAGTTTATTCTTTATTACAAAGGCTGTATTTCTTTTCTTTTCGTTTCTAGATAATGGTTTCCTTATCAATTTGGACATCCAGAAAAAATTGTTTGAGAAATTATTTCACTTCTGTTGAAAATGACTAATTTTCTAAAATCTTTCAAATAACCTCCTAAAAATAGTTATAAAGCTTTGCAGAATAATAATTAATTTTCTTAATTTAAATTAAATTAATGCACCAATAACAAAAAAAACACATAGGGCAACCTGCAATACTTTGTTGTGACAGACTGAAATGTGTTCTTAGTTCATTGAATTTTGGTCAAATCTTGCTTACTTATTCAATCATATATTTCCTTTTTTATTTTAAATAATATTTTTATGACTTTAGACAATGTTTTATTAGAAGTTCTCGTACAGCTACTTTGTGTTAAGACAAAATGAAACACTGTATTCGTGATGTTTGGCTATGTTATATAGAGAGTTTGTAAAAAAAGACATCCCTATAATCCTGAAGAAGAGGTATGGTAATAAGTAAACAAAAGGGGCAATATATATCACTGAATTATCCATGATACTGGACTGCTCTGCTGTCGGGGGGGAATTTCACTCCACATTCACAAAGTAATGTTACAGACGGCAAGTATTCTCTGGTTATTTTTGAGGGAAATACCATATCCATCAGAGGTCACATTGGATTGTTAAAATCTGTGCAGCCAGGTGGATGGTGGATTTTCTGAGCTGCTGTGTCTAGTTTACATAAAAATCTTTTTCCTGCACAAACCTGTGAAAACAAATTCAAGCCATGTGTGGAAACAACACTCTCTTTCTGATCCACAATTTCAGACAGGCTGCATTCAAACACATGCATGGGGCTGTGCAACAACCAGAAGCTCCAGTCATTTCAAGAAAAGCTTAAGAAAGACTTGCCCAACAACATCCAGGCACCAACCAAGTCCAACCAGTCCGGCTGGTGGGCTCAAAACCACACTTTGAGCGTTTGAGAAGAGAAAGAAAAATCAAAATGTGGAGAGAAAGTAACTTTGATTACACTTGTATCAACAGCATTGTACTGCAAACTTACCTCATATTATAGACAGATAGACATATATTCCGTCGATTCAGCAGGCAGGGTTTTAAAAAGGCTGTAAAGCTGGCACAGAGCAACAGACAGGGGTCGGTTGCCTTGAAAACCGCAAAACTTAACACAGAAGACCCACCCCTGTTTGTGTCACCATGGCACACACACCACAACAAACCACCACCGACAGTTAACAGACACTTTATAACTATCAGACACTTTATAACTAACAGACACTTTATAACTAACAGACACTTTATAACTAACAGACACTTTAAAGGTTACACGTTTGTTAAACCACGACATAAAACAACTTATTTGTATTGTATGAACTGTGGAGTAGCGTTAGTGATAACGGTTGCAAACTGTCACTCTAACTGCTAGCTAACGTTAACACAGACAGTGCCAGATTCAAAAGTTAACGTTAGTTATCGTTAACAGCACTCACTCCTAATTTAGACAGCAAAACAAACGCCAACAACCCACATTGAGACGACTTTCAGCTAGGTAGTGTTAGTACCTTGATTCCGAAGGGGTTGCACGGGTTAATTTCTCCCAAGAAAGCCGAAGTTTCTGATATTTATGAAGCTAATTATGAGTCTTGTGGAGTGTGGCACTGATTTTAGCTGGCAGAGTAGTTACTCGAGGCAAATATCGTGGGGAAAGTTTGAGGTCCTCAGTTTAACATTTCAGGCATTTTATCCTTTCTAAAAGACAGTCTATAAATTTTGGCTTTTTTCAAACAGAAGCCCTGAACCTAACGTTAACCTTTTCTAGCCTTACTGTAAACTAAATGATTTTATATGTGAGTATTTGTTACGGTGGTGTTACCTGACAGGCGAAGTTCAGGGAAAATTTCCTCATTAAACACTTAAAACCAAGAACTAAGTGGTGATTGGTCATGAGGCTGCTCAGGGGCGGGACTTAGCTGAGCTTGATATTGGGAGTACAACATTGGGCAGTTGCGGTTCAAAGTAGTGGCCACAAGAGGGCATGATTTCCTAACTTTTCTATATCAACCAACTCTGAGGAATATGCCAATCATCTTTTCCTCCTTTACACCTAACATCTTTCCACCGCAGGTTTCTATTGATATATATACACATATACAGTAAAACAGAAACAAATAATAAGTGTATGCAATTATTTTTAGAAAAGTAAAAGCAAATACATAAATGGAATATATGTGTATATATATATATATATATATATACACACATATATATACACATATATACATATATATATACACATATATATACAAATATATATACATATATATGTGTATATATATATATATATATATATACATATATATACAAATATATATACATATATATGTGTATATATATATATATATGTGTATATATATATATATATGTGTATATATATATATATATATGTATATATATATATATATATATATATATGTATATATATATATATAATATAGGCTTATTAATATGTTTGATTAAAGCTTTTACATTTTGTTTTAACTCAAATAACTTTATTATATATTCAAATTGGCTTATTTCCCCCAAGCGGTACCCCTTAGAAAAGACAGTTATACCCAGTTTGGTGTGAAAGAACTTGACTGGTCTGACTTTTTCAGAAGGTGCAGGTTGTTGAAGCAGCAGAGAAATGTCCATGGTTTAAGAATGACAAGTTAAGCAATTACACATTACTGTGATGTTTAGGACTCCACATATGTTTGGCCATGTAGTGCTTAGATCTGTAACAAACTAATTGACTTTTACAGGATGCCTGAAGAGATGTTCTTATTACACTGCTGTGAAACAGATAACACATTCTCAGTATTTATAGGATAAATTGAATGTATTGACACAGTAAATAATGGGGTTTACAAACTGATAAATGCTTATAATAGGTGCATTTATTTCAAAAAGTCAACCTAAGGTAACAGGTAAGGATCATCCATCCTGGTAGGTTAATTCATACAATATTGATCTATTATAGTATAAGTGAGAACAAAGTAATTTATGTCGGGCCAATGATCAATGGTAGAAATGCAGAATTGATTTCACTTCTAATACAATACATAGCCAAACAAAATCTCTGTATAAAGATATGTCCCATGTTGAAGCTTTGTAATGGCTTGGTGCGTAAGACTGATTAAGAATAAAGCGACAAGCTTATATGTGGGTGCAATATTATGGTGCATGTGTAGATTTCGTCATAATTTATCATTTTTTCATTATAATTCTTTAACCAGTTCTTTTATTATTATTACCATTCTCTGCTATTATTCATCCTGGTTTGGAAAAAACCAATAAAAACTGGTTGAAACTGAACTGAAAGAAGCACACAGACAGAGAGATGACCATGAAGCTGATCAATCATTCCTGCCTTATCTCAGGACACTCCTGCAATCTCAAACTTTAGCTTCACAAAAAGGAAAACAATAGATTGCTATTGTATTATATTATATCGTCACGGGCACTGACCCAAAACCCGGTCTGTATGTCTGAGAGATCACTGCCTGGGGGCTGAAACAGCCTGTCGTAGGCAGATCTGGTTGGCAGAGGCCTGTATGTTCAGTATAATACAAAGACAGAGATGAAGATCCTGCTGCACCAGGAGAAATACATTCAGAGCTGTTTTCTGATTACAAAAAAAAGTGAAACATGCCAAACAAATTCAACAGAAAGTCAGAACCTTCTGATCATCTCTTGAGTGCTGCCATTACAAAGACACATGATGATTTTTCATAATAAAACATTTCAGAGCACAGTTGGACCACATGCAGGTTAAGTGAATTTGAAATTATGGTTGCAACCAATCAATATTTTCATTCATCTATGAACCTGTGGACTATGGATGGCCATTAGAATTTCCAAGAGCCAAGTGGACGTCTTAGCATTGCTTGTTTTCGCCAACCGAAACCGAAATATATAAAATTTGCAATGAGAATCCTAGCATTTGAGAAGCTGTTACCTAAAGATGTTTGGCCTCAAGGGGCTTAACAATGCTCAAAACACAGACTAAACACAGCACAATCACAAAGATAAAAATAAATAAATTTAACACAAAACCATTCACAGTTCTCTTCACAGAGGGGAACGAGGCATTCTTGTTGTCAATTTACTCCCAATTGGAGACAGAATGGGATGGTGACCTGTCCAGAATACCCTGTCTCTGCCCAATAAATGCTAGAACAGACTCCTGCAGCTCCCACATGACCCTGAACAAGATAAGCAGTTTATAAAATGGAACAATTCACTGCAGTGTTTTCTGCTTTCAATATGAAAGCCAAGCTTTTGTTGAACTTCCAGGTAATTATATTTTGTTGCTGCATTTTGTATCTTTGCTTTGGCAATGGAAGATAATTTAACAGCAATAAACAGATCATTTTGAACTGAAATGAATCTATAAAGAGCATGAACGAGTCTACAAATGAATAGGAAGAGAATAAAGAATAATTGTAGAAAGCGCAGGACCGTCTGTACCATTCACAGCAGCAAACCATTTGTTACGTATTTGCTACCATATGCGGCCAAAAGTATGTGGACACTTGAAAATTACACCAATGCCAGTGCTGAACATTTTATTCCAAAACCATGAGCATTGATCTGCTGCTGTAACAGTCTCACCTCTTCTGTGAAGACTGTCCACCAGATTTTGAAGCCTGGCTGCAGGGATTTGCCCCCATTCATCCACAACAGCATTAGTGAGGTCCAGTGCTGATGTTGAGTAATGTCAGTGTTCCAGTTCATCCCAAAGGTGTTTGAAGGGGTTTAGGTCAGTGCCACTCAAATTTTTCCACATCAAACCAGGAAAACCATTTCTTCATTGACCTGGCTTTGTGCACAGGAAAAAAAAGGGACAAATACAAACTGTTGCCATAAAGTTTTAAGCACACTGTATATTATTATGCGATGCAGCTTTAAGATCTCCCTTTATTAGAACTAAGGAGCCAAAAACCATGAGAAACATCCCCTGACCAAAAAAGAAATCAATAAAAGCAGACAGCTTGCTAGTTTTTGTGCAGTTATCTTTATTGAAAAATTAAACACACTTTCTGTATAAATAGCATGTCATTGTACAACACTCCTCGTTAAAATGTGCAGGAAGCAGGCAAAAAGACAGATGGACGGACTGACTCACAGGAGAACAAAAGCAAAAAGGAGGCAGCTGAAGAGCATCGCAGGGCAAAATGAACACCAACAAAATCAACTTGTGCAGCTAATAAAGCAGGAGGCACACTCAGTGAAACAAATAAACATTGTCAATAGAGTCAACAGGTGGTGTTGGTTGCTTTATGAGTCTGACCTTTGGGGAGAAGCAGTGGGGAAGCACCTTACTACAGTGCGAGCAACAAGTCAGCGTCTGAGCTGTCGTGTCTCACGTCGGAGCCAAGGCCAGCACCTCTCCGTCTTGGCGCCTGATTAATGAGACTGTCAGCAGCTTCCATCGCTTCCCTCCATCATCCCCCCCCTCCTGGATGGCCCTTTAATATCAGGTCAAATAGAAGGCTGAGCCGCTATTGACACATGTCTACAAGATGGGGTCATTATGGAGTTAACTTATGAAAGGTTTCTGTGATGAGGAGGGATAATTCCACATATATAATATGGTTGATAAATGTCAAAATAAACACATGTAGGGTTAATAATGGCTGTCGCTTTTCCTGTAGAGCTGTTCACATTTGACTTTCTCTGAGACATGTTTGCATTTATCTACATTTGACCTGAGCAGGGTACAGCCAGCAGCAGGGAGGGGCTCAGTGTGTTGCTCAAGGGAACTTTGGCATTAATGGACACATGTAGCTGTTGCAGAGATTGAACTAGTGACTCTCAGGATCCTGGAAAATGTTAACCTCAGTTAAAGGGACTTCAATAAAATGATCAAATAAGTATGAAGATTGCAACTGTAACTTGTCCTTGTTCTATAAAAACCATGTATCTCCCAAATATCTTTCATACACTGGAAATCTGCTTTGTTTTAGGATTGGTAAGGGATCAGTATAGAACATTAATACTTTGCTGGTAGCCTACTGTCCAAAATATGTCCCCAGTAAGGAGAAGTTATTCTTTGATGAGACTAATTCAAGACTTTATTCAGCCAAATGTCTTGTGTGGCTGCTTTTGTTAAGACAACATTTAACATTTGGGATGTTTAGTTTAATTTGTTAAAGGATAAGATTTTTATATATTTTCTTTATCGTCAACAAATCCAATGGAAAGACAAAAACCAACAATGATTTCATCCTACTTAGAAGTATTGTGTGTGTACTGAAAGCCTGATATAACTTATTCCTTTGTGCCATGGAGCTCCATTGTTGTCCAAAAACTACTGAAAACACATCGGTGAGCCACACATGAACACACACAACCTAGGTAAATTTGATTCAGTCACTAGAGCACGTACCAATCAATTTGAACATTGTAACATTTGATAAAAACTTCAGTGCCCAGCTGTTTTAGGAAATTACTGAGTCACACATTATTGAGAGAATTGTTGGTTTGAGTCTTTTCATGGGAATGTTAGACAATTAGAACAATATACTTGCTGTATCTCTTAAACAAATAAAGGCTTATGCAGAAAAACATCTTTATATTCCTAGTAAGGTAGTAAGTATTCTTTTGGGATTGGAAACCTTGTGTATCTGTAGGAGAACATTTTAAATTTCAGACTATCTTTCCTTTCCTCTTTCCTCGTCTCCTCTTTGAAGGGAGGTGTCATGTGTGACGCTTAAATGCTCAACTCAGGAAACAAAATCCTTCATCTGTGTGGCTGCGATTCCTTCCAGATTAGATTGTTTGACGAACAGTCAAATCCACTGAGAGGACGCACTCCAGCTCTCATCTGTCTGACTGTCTCTCTATCTCTCTCTGTGTTCTTATCTATCTCCTTCTGTCTCACACGCAAACACACTCGTGTACACACACACACACACGCTGATGCATCCTGAATTTTAAGTCTGTTAGTGGTTTCAGCGAGTACATCATTTTTTCAATATTATTTGTACCAAGTCCTGAATATGCATAGTTAAAGCAAATTAATTGATGCACTCAAAAGCCTCAGTAATCACAGAAAGATAAATGATTTGTACATTTAACGGAGAGCTTCTCCACATTCCCCTCGGATTAAAAACTGATGCTCGAGTTTAATACAGTAGCGTTTCATCAAGCCTGTTGACTTAATATCACCTACAAAAATGTTTTATAAATCCTGTTACAAGACTAGAGTTACTATAAAAGCCTTAACTGTTGAAATGTTATTATGATTTACAGGTGCAGGCTGTCCTTTAAAAATCCACAGAACACCAATCACACAGTGGATTTATCTCATCTTGAGTCACTTCTTTAGTCGTATCATGTCACTGCTTTTACGTTTACGGTCTTTTAACTCCTTGTTCTGTGAGGCAGAGGGAGATTTAAACATTCATGAAACGCTGTCTGGTTTTGAAGGCAGCCACGTTAAAATATGTTTTTTTCATGTGGTCCTTTAATATAGATAAAATATGTCCCCTGCATGCATATGAAATTGACTGTAAAAAGTGGATGATGTCAGCTGGAAAAGTTCACAGAAAAAGGTTTTTGAGATTTTTAGCTTGCACTGTAAAACCTTACAGCATATATTAATAAAACTAACTAACTTTTTGTTTTTGTGGTTTGAGTGCACTTAAATTTGTTCAGTATTTCAAGTATTGATCATATAATTCCAGTTTGTTCCATTGACTCATTGTCTTTAAGCTGACTTTATATAATTACAAAAACGTAAGCCCCACAGAGTTACTTCTACTCAAATCAGTTTTTAATCCGTGTTTAAATTGTTTCGGTTAATAAACAACAGTTTAAGGAAATCAGTGTTCTCAGACAGTTTGACAGACCATTTACTGTATGGTTCAGACACAAAGTGAAGCAATTTTCACACTGACAGAATTGACAGCTTGACCGTTTGTATTCATTTGCACTTTAACAGCCAATGTAGCCACTGTACGGTAGCTGTAAACTAGCAAGCAATGGATGAACTAACCGTGTCTGTGGGAGTGTGCCTGTGTTTGTGCTCAGCTCCGCCTCTGACTGAACTCTTTCTGTTATTCCCCTCCAGTCTCTCCTCTTTGCAATTCGTGCCGCCTTGACGATTTCATGTGTAATCACATTTTTCCTTTGACTTTGTATGAAATTACGCAGCCTCTAAAATTTGCTTTGCATTCTGTCTATACACACACTCAGGCAGCTGTTCACAGTAAACAAGCTCTGACAAAACCACTGTAGGCTACCTTCCCAGCCCCAAACAACAGATGGACAACATTTGCAAGTAGCTGGTAAAAAAAGTGAAAGATATTTGCTCATAGGCTGGTGGTGACCAAATCAGATGTAAAAGGAGGGTGAATATTGGACATTCATCAGGTTGACAGAAACACCACTCAATGAATTTAAAGCATGAACTTAATCACTACAAAATGCGTGAGTTGTGTACATGTCAGCTTCTTGTGGAGTTTTTCTGCTTTCTGGTTGCCAAAATTGTAGTTGTTCTGTTTTCCTCACTTCTTTCTCACTTAAAAAAAATTGTGGTAGAAAAATTATTTGGAAATGAAAGCATGCCATGCGTTGTCATGGTTAGGGAACCTGAGGGGCCTCAGGGAGATTCACACTTGGCATACTTTGTGTGAGGAGGCTCAGACTGTCTGGTCGATGAGCTGAAGACCTTGGAGAGGCATAACAAGCATGGATGAGAGCTGGTCTTGGCCATTAGTTACAGACACTCTGTTTAGCCCTCCCTTAGGTATCATATAAAGTTGAGTGTAAGAAGAATTTAAGATTTTGCTAAGACTGTACACAGAGTATACGTGAGGCTAACTGAGTTGTTTTTCGTTGATCAAATTGAAGTTTGACCAGGCAGTAAAGTTTTCTTAATCAAGAACAAAACATTTGGCAGATAAATAGACTGAAAAGTTTGATCAGGTTTTTGCCTGTTCAGGAATGATATATCTCTTCAAACATTATATGTTGGGATCATTACTGGTGCAAACATAGTGGATATGGGTATGACCTTTAAAAAAATCATACCAGCGCATCCCTAACATTTGTTTTTTATCCATTAATAGCTGACATTTTGAAGACAGACAGCGGGGATATGATGTAAAAACAAAGCATGAATGTGTTGTTCTCTTATCTCAGTTGTCACCAGAATGATTCAAGAGTGTTTGATAGCAATTTCTCACAAAGCTGCTCTGTTGGCATTCTTCAAAAAAGCCCAGACTACCAGACTACCAGTTCACTTTCTTGTGTGTCTCATAACAGCAGCTCCCTAGATGACATTTACATTTGTCTTTATTTGCCGTCTCTTTGTTATGAGCTTTTTCTCTTTTCATCCATTAACCGCAGACAGGCACACACCACTCACATTAAACACATACGTAACACACAACACTTAAATTAATTACTCCAATTACTTCATATTTCTACCTGCAGCCTAATGTGAGTCTCTGGAGTGACACATGGAGGATGTTTGCTGTACATCCTCTCCATGCTTGCACTCTTCCTGAGAGGAAGCAAATCATCTCCACAACAACAATCACATCTCATTTGTTACTTTAGTCACTCTCTCATTCTTATTCGTCCTCTCTCTCTGGCTCCATCTCTCACTCTACCTGATTGCTTATCTCCTAATTGCTTTTCTATAAATGGGTAAAATGTGTGTGTGTGTGTGCATATGTTCCATATGTGAGCATGTGTGGAGGAGTGTTTCTAAAATATCTGGCAGTGTCGTCCTCTAAATGTCTCATTACTCCCCTCTTGGGCATAATTGCTGCACTGAGCAAGACCCCCAGGGTGAATATAATTAAAACTATGAAATTACAAAATAAAATCATCAATTGTTATTCAGTGGGGGGAGTAGCAGGAGAAAAGCTGAGTGATCTGAGGAAAAACTGAGGGATTTTATTCCCCCTGACAGCACCTCCACACTAAGCTGGCCAAATCTGAAAAAGTATCTTTATTGTTTTTGAAACAGAGCTCTTCAAAATTCTCGTTGTCCTTGTGTTTCAGTTTGTTGTGGTTGTTGTTAAAGTTATAATCCTTTCCTTCATTTCTGATACATTTGATGGCTGGATTTTTTTAAGCAATAGCCATTCATTGCATTTTTTTTTTCTGTAAATACCTCCCTATATAAACAGTTTTCAGTAGTGGCAGGGTCTGCCTTTCCCATACTGGAAACAATTGCAACATGTAATCCAGCTGTACTGTTTTTAATTTTATTTCACTGATATCAGCCTCGCTGTTTATAGTTTTATCCCCTTCAGTCTTATCAGAGGTTCATTAAGGTACTGCTAATGCAAACTGAATACTTCCTACTACTGCTGCTTCACATCAAAAGCATGGCGAAACATGGGGTGGCTTTAATTGCGAAGCAGTCACAGGAAATGTGATGCATTCATCAACAAGGTTAACGCTGATGATGAAAAAAAGAAAACTAGCTCATTTTCGGCATTTTTGACAGTGGATCAATTTTAAATATTGGATGAAATAATGGAACCAGAAGAGGCAGCCTCAGTGAACCTCTAGATGAAGGGCTGAAGGCGTCAGAAGGAACACCTCAGACTCTGCAGCAAGGTAACCAACTCCTATTACTGTGTCCTGACGTGTGCTCACAATGTGTGCAGCATGAAATTAGATTATGGCTGCTCAGGGCATGATGGGAAAAAGGCCAATTGTCGACTTAAGTCTTTATTAAAACAACTTGTTTGGCTGCACTGTAAACTGACACAACAGTTGATCTTCTGTTGTATTTCTGACAACAGCTGCTCGAGGAGGAGCTCAAGGAGGAGCTCAAGGAGCAACTATTAGGGATTTTATTGACATCTGAGAGCAGCAGCACAGGAAATGTTTGCTGGTTAACAGGTAACATATACGACCTGTGATCAAATCACAATTTTATACCTGTCTGAAAACAGAAACGGAAAAATAAGTCAATGAGAACAACTAAATTGTGGGTTTGGTTGTATTAAAACAGTATAGGTCACAATTAGCAGTAGGGGACAGAGCTGTGTTTTTACCAGCTGAGACTCAGCAGAGTAACCAGACTCTCTGTCCCGCTCCTTACCCGATTTTGGCAGCAATGCAGAGATGTTTGCCAATGGAATTAAGAAAAAGTTATTTAGCTGCTTCTTATTGTTTGTATTGGGGATACATATTGTTTTTATATGTAAACAGCTTTTCTAATTTACCTCACTGAGTGTGGACAAACAATACAGATACACAGGAAAGGAAACCGGAAACGATGCGCATTTGTGTGGTATCCATATAAAGATTATCATTCCCATGTACAGTCTTTTTTGTGTCTATCAAACAAATATGACAATGTAATGTGTATTTTTGTTAGCCTGACATAATTTTATCCATTTCCTTTTGGTAATAGGTTGGTAATATGCAGACAGGCCGGTAGCATCACTGTAAAATCTATAGAACTGCCAGGATGGCCTGAATTATCATCATCTTTGAAATATATTACTATATGTTGATGATGCAACAGAGGTTACGGGTTTTATAATTCATATAGGAGTATCTTTATGTGTACAGTATATATGCATCTGTATCTACATTTGTTCATTTTTACATATACAAATCCAAGCTTGTAAAGTCGAGCATTAATCAGTCTTAGATGTGCAGCTGTCTCTCAGATAGAAGCAGAAAATGAATACAGTGAACTGACCATTGGACGTGGGAGTGCTACGAGAAGTTCCAGTTGGGGTTGCAAATGGTTGTAAATCCACGAGTTTTAACACTGAGAGAACAAACAAAATGTATAGGTTTCACTACTTTCCGTTTTAGTGCATAAGATCTCACAGTGGGGAGGTAACACGTTGAGGAGAATCCTGAACGAAGTCCACAGCAGAAGTAATACCTTGTAAATTTGAGGGTCACGTGTCCAGGCTCAAGGGTGGGTTTATGAGAAAGGGCTCAGAGATCAGTTGATGGTTCGTTTGAGTCTATTTAAAAGAGTTGTGCCATAGACGCTTACATTTCTTCCTCTCATGTTGTCCTGGGACTCTTCTTCTCATGGTGCTGCCTTTGTCATCGTCCTCTCTCCTCCTCCGCACAGCTATAGCGCCACGTTGAACTCGGTCACCAGGAAGTCCACATGGTCCCTCTCTTTGGTCTTGAAGGCCTCAGCGATGAGGCGTGCGGCATCCCTGTGCTCGCGGCCCCTCAGGGAAACCCCATTTACCTCCAGGATCACCTGACCCACCTTCAGCTGGCCGCAGTTGTGAGCTGAACCACCCCTCTGAGAGAGAGAGATAGAAAGATAGAGACGCTTCATTATTTTAAATTTGGAGTAAGAACCCAATAAAAAATACAATACATGGGCAATTTGCCAGAACCACTCAAGCAAATAGATTTGTTAATTAGCTGCACGTACAAGTGATTTAAGAGGCATAAACAATATTCACAGGTGGTTCAGCCATGTACAAGTCATGTACAAATAGTCTGCCTTTCTCCGAAGTGTGAAAAGAATCATAATGCCTTAATCTGAATACATTTGGATACATTTGTAGTTTATGGGTACTCTCACACCAAGCCTCCAGGAAGAGCGCTAAGCTTTGAAGCCAATTTGACACAGTGGCCGAACTGTTCAATTACAGCAATGGTGTCCATCACGTGATACACACAGTCCCAGACCTCCCATAAGGTAACAATGTGAAGGAAGCAGCAGTAAAATGGTGGATACATTTTTTGATCCATTCAGTTCAATAACATTTTTAAAGTCTAGAAGATCTGCAAGATCACATTATTTATCCCCATTCAAGTTAACGGAGGGCTAAACCTCATCCTAAACAGGCCACTGTGTGCACTGCCTCCAATGCTGTATCCCGAACTCATATTGTAATAGTGTTAAATAGATAGAAATGGGAGAAAAACAGATTTTGTGCTGTTATAATGTGGGATAGTTACTGTGTTGTTGCTATGTTTCCTTCTTTTCATTCACTTTTATTGGGGAACTGCCAAAACAGATAAAGCAGGATAGAAACTCAACACTTGTTGGTTTTACTCCCTTTCACTTTCTGATGTGTCAGGGAAAATCCCTTCACTCACATGGTGACACACATTCATGTTAGCACGGTTACTAAATGATACTGTATAAATACATACCATACAATGTTTATATAGATCGGGAGATCTGACTTCATGATTAGCATAAGGATTTAATAGTAGCTTATGAAGTTATGCTAAAATCACATATCTGCTTTCACACAACCCAGCAGCTGGTCCGTTCTATTTTCCCTCAAACAAACTACACCCACGGACGCTTGCACTGATACCCTCCTTTTCAGACAGTCTCAGTCTGGATCAGAGTTTGATTTAACCAGACCAAACTTGTTACTTGTTAGGCGTGAAAGCACCCTACATTAGGTACATTTACATCTGCTGATTTTTGACAGCTGGACTTAAGGTTTTACTGTGTTCTCAGGTGATGTTTTTGTGAATGAGACTTGCCCACAAATGGAGCAGAACAGGCAACCTTACATGCCAAGTTGGGGGTGTTGATGATATTAATGATCACATCTCCCAAATCATCATCATCATCATCATCATCAAATGTATCTAGTCATGAACAGCTGGCTTTCATCAATTAATCTGACTTCGTACACTCGGACAAGCAAGGCTCAGAAAAAAAAGTACAGGTTTAGTATAAGACAAAAATGTTCTTGACAGAGGCCAAAACTAAATATGTATAGATTACATAGTTAAATTGTTAAAAATCTACATTATTTTGCAGCAGACAGAATATTTTTCATAGCAGCAGGAGTTTTTGATAGATCAGCAAGCTTCATCAAAAAAGCGTTAAGTATTGTACAATGACCTGCAGAGCTTCACAAAGTATGGTTTGCATTTATCACTGAGAAAAAAGTAACTTCTATCTGCAATCGAATGTAATCATCATGGCAAAAAATCTAAGCTAAAAATTATCTTTACATCAACAATCTAAATGCAGTCAAGGTCCAAGGTTATCCTGCCAAGTCCACTTTCTTCTGGAGCTGAAAGGTTCTACAGAGTTTTACGAGAGTCTGTGATCCTCACTTTTGTTCTATTACTCCCAAATAAACAAGGTCCTCTCAGTGCCCAAGCTAAAATGTAAACCCCCTCCCATAAATGTGACAGGTACTTCATTAGCATACAGAAATAGAGTCTCCTGTCACAGAAAAACACATTCACAGCCACAATAAATATACACACACAGCCCTGCAGTCTGGCCCTCAGAGCACACAGCGAAGGCACAGCAGCAAATATATGCAGACTCACCCCTTTAGAAAGAAGTGTGTGCTCAACAAAATGCAATGCTTTCTCCTGACCGACAGCACTCCCCTCTTGCAGTAACACCCTCACACATTTCATATGTGATTACAAAAATGTTTGTATGTTGTTGTCTGTTATTGACACCCTGAGACAGGGCACAGGACAAAATTCACAAAACAACCGCGGACTCAGGTTTCATTTCTTGAGTCTTTCAGTCTGGTCCTTGCGAGTGAAATCCTCACACTCTGAAAGAACCAGCAGATCTGCCCAACAAGTCCCACACGTATTAGTAAAAGTTTGGAAGGCCATCAATTTCAGTATCCTTGCCCACAGCCTGAATTGCTGAACAGAGGCGGTTAGCGTCTGTATGAAGTAACTTCTAAGTCTTCTCTCTGCTCTGGAGAACTCACTCCACAAAGTAGATCCTCATCCTTCTTGAAGCAAAGCTGAATAAAAAGTCATATTTGTTGTCCTTATCTGCTTCTCCTCTAAGGTCACATACCCAAAGGACAGATATAAGTGATGGAGTCATGACTGCTGTTCTTTCCCTCTCTGCAGTCTGAAATCATCAGCAGCTTCCATATTTTTAAATCACAGTTGCTAAGACCAGTTTTTATCTAAATTACTTTCATTATACATTTAGTTTGGACGTCTCTGCTGTGTGTGGCAAGAAGTAGTGTGTTCTTTATGTTGAGAGGCAAAATGTAATGGCCTCTGCAAGTCTTTTATGACGCACTCTTGCACCGATGCACCGTAAACCTCTAGAATTAAAGTAATTGCAGCTCAGGCAAGGATATGGCTCTCAAAATATGAAACACTGCAGTTTGCGGGTGAGCTGACTGAGCATGGCTCTTTGCTGATAACTGGCTTGTGATTGGTTGTGCTACTCCTGGATCAATCACTTTCTCTTCTGCCCACTTCCAAAACCCACCGGCAACAGAAGAAGCCACCATATTTCCAAGATGAAAATAATGTGGACGGATTCAGCTATTTCCAAGATGACTTTTTTACGTGCCTCGACCTAACATACTGCAGCTGATAAACTCGCCTGTGTAGCCACCACCAAACAGTAGACAGATGAAGAAGTTAGCAACTAGCTGGTGAAGAGAGTAAAACATTTAGTGGCTACAATGCCTGACATTTTTTCAAGGAGTTGGTGATGACCAAGCCACAGCTAAAACAAGCTTTAATATTGGACAAACCCAACTCCAAATGAATGGTAATTTAAATGATTACTTTATAAAGCAATACAATGTCAAAGTAGTGTGTCTATCTGCTTGTTGTGGACTTTTTCTGCATCCAAGTAGCCATAAAAATACCCTTTCGCTGCTTTAAACTTCATTTAAACCCCAAATCTAACAACATAAAAAAAAACAATCACAGGTTCCATGTTCTTGTGGTTGTAAATACCATGCAGAATCACGTTTTCCTTTGTGTCAGTTCCATGTTCTCCTCTCCCCGCTGATGGCTAACGTCATTATGTGCAACGTCGATGGATAAAAACACCAGCAGCGCCTTCCACACCGGGGCTGCATCATCACATCTCTTATTTACTGAGCCTACAACAATTACCATGAGCTAGTGGAGCAGTCCGTCGTCATGATGGGAAGATGGCAGCGATAAGGGGCTGTCGCTTCAGGGGGGGTGATGGGGACCGATAATGACCGGGCCGGCAGCAGCTTACTCATCTGCGCTTCATCCTCAGCAGGCATGATTGAGGTGACTTGAGGCGAGAGCTCTTGCGCCCACAGAGATAGGAAATACAGAAGCCAGGGGTTTGCTTTCTCACGACTCCACGACTGCGCTTCCTTCCAATACTTCAGAGAAATGGTATTGTACAGGGCACTGGCTTTGATGTGATGCCATCATGTCCCCCAGATAGAACCAATGCCCATCGGAAAGCCAGAAACAAAATTAACAGTTTTTTTTCTTGCTTTTTTCTTTTTTAAAGAAAATGTATCAATCTGATGCTCGGTTCTGACTGGGGGAAGTTCTAAGGTTGTGTGCCTTGCTCAAGGGCGTAATAACATTGAGTTAGCTTTCCCCAGGTGATAGAGCAAAGTTTTTACAGCTCACTTTTCCACTTTGAAAACTGAACGTGCAGAAAGTGTCCCTCCATTTCTGTAACAAGTGACCTCGAGGCTGCCATGTTATTAATGTCTGTAAATAACTGAAGCTACACCGTGTTATTGTTCTGGGATGTAACTGTGGTGTCATGTAACTTGTGGCTTTATCTTGCCTGTGATCAATAGGGTTTAAACCTCAGCAAACCAAAGTGGAAGCATGAAGTGTATGCACTCCCAAAAATGTGGGTCAGTAATTAGACCAGCAATAATTTTAACCTGGTTTAAAATTTCAGTCTACGTGTCTAAATAGTTTGAAATAACTGTAACACTGTTAAACTGAGCCCATGAAATGAATTTGAACGTTGTTTCAGACACCTGAAGCCACTTCATGTCTTTGTCTATAAAAACAAGTGCCACTGCGAGAGACCAATTTCCTCTGCTATAATCGATTTCAATCAGCTGCCTTTTTATTTATATTAGTCTCTCAGTCAAGTGTCAGTGAGGTTGAGAGGAAATGGTTAGGGGCCCAAACATGTCAGTGGTTTTATTTTTTCAGTGTAGCTTTCTTGCTCTGTGTGCTTATTTCACAACCCTGACCTAAAATGAGGGTTCCTGGCTTACATAACAGTCTTGCAGTTGAATGAATGTACACACAGCTGCAGTGCTGGCCTTCTCGGCCGTCCCTTGATAGTTTCATGGCTCAATTATTTTTTGTGATAAACTGAATACGTTTTTTCAAAAATGTGCAAGAAGCTTGAGCTTGTTATCTTTTTACTTGATGTACCCTCCTGAAATGATGAGCTTCAAGAAGCTTTACTAGACCACTGCTACTGGCTTTACACTGTCTTTGCCAAGAGTACACGGTAGAAAAAATCCTTTCAAGTGAAAACAGCCACTATAGGATTCCTTCATCAAATGTTTTCCATCTTATCTTTAGCTTTGTGAGTTTCCTGTTGATTTGAAAGCTGACAGTTTGTTACCTCTGAATGCATGGAGCTAACAAACAGCTAATGACATACAATAATGTAGCAAATAAGCAGTTCTGAAATAGAATTAGGCCTCAGGAGACAAAAGCAGAAACACTTCAGACAAAGAAGTTTCAATGGAAGTAAACCTGATATCCCATCTTCCTGCATTTGCTGGGGGATTTGCAGGGATGGGGACAAAAGTCATTGTGACTTGGACTCGACTCAAGTCCCTGTTTTAATGACTTGAAACTTGACTTGAGACATGATAATTTGAGTGACTTCTCTGTGTTAATTTTATATTATTTAGTTTAAATATTACACATGCAATATAAACAGTTTTCAACGTTGTCACATTACAAGTGTCTGTGTAACGTTACCCGGTGTGCGAGCACACACTGGGAATGGCATTGTCATAATTGGATGACTACACTGACACGTCAGTCAAGTGCATCCTGCGACACTACCTCAGATCAGATCATCATTGTCACGCCTGTGACAAGAGGAAAAAGGCGAACTGTTGAATGCAAGACTGGTCTAACAAAGATTTCTGACAGCCAGACATCAGCCTCAAACTTTGTTTGTCATTTGAAGACTCATTCGGATCAGTAAGGGTCTGTGAGGGCTGATGTAAGATGATGTTAGCCAGATACAATCTGTTCTCCGTAGCTAGCTAACATTAGCCTGATAATGACTGATTATTATTGTGACTTGACTTGCCTTGCTGAAGAAAAAATAACTTAACTTTACTTCTTTAGATTTGGACCAAAGGTCTTGAGTCACATGTCTGGGTTATTTGTATCATGAGCGCAAGTGCAAACTGCAGTTTGGGAATAAAAACACATGTTTTATACATTGTTTACTTGGTCCCAATGCATCCTTCCAACTCTGACCTTCCACCGCCTACACAGCCACCAAACCCAAATGCTGCACCCACCCACAACACCAGACCTCCACTTCCTCATATGTACAAATCCTCCTCATTCCTCCTCTCCTTATTCACATCACTATCACTTCTTTTGCATCCTTCGCTCACACTTGCCGTACTTTCTTCCACTGTACTCTTTGGTTCTGAATGTGCTGATTTCCAATCCTTTTATGCCTCCCCTCGCAATCAGCAACCCTTTTTTATTTCAATCAACACCTCTGTGGAGTGGGAGGCTGAGAGACAGCTTTGAATGTGGTGTGGACTGTAGTCAGTAGCTGCTCACTGCTCTGATCTTTAAAATGTAACTCTCCTGTTCTCTGTGGTTTGGAAATGATTAGTGCTAGAGATAGTCCTGAGCTAATACAAGGCTTTGTTGACTTGCAAATTACCATGGCAGACAGATATATGCACACCAAGTCACAGTAATAGCTTTCTACAGAGGTGGCTAACCTGTCATTTCCAGCTAAGCTGTCAATATTTGGATTTCGCTCTGCATAGCCAGAAAAGCTGAATTTCCAGTATCAATGGCTGGATGGCAGCAAAGCCGAGCAAACCCTAAAATGCTAAAGTCTGTTACTGACTTACTGGAGTTTCCCCATTGGTTGTTGCTCTTTCAGAATGAATAGGCATGAACCATCTTCGGTAGCACTTTAAATTACAGCTCAGTAATAACATAGTAATAGTGGGGTCATAGTTTTTTTTAATAATTAAGTAATATCATGTAATTACCAAAAAATAACCAGGTAATAGCTTGGTATTGATGATGGTTATATCTGGGTAATATCTGACTGAAATGTATGTTACAGGTTAATAAGGGGTAATAAACAACAGGTTAATAAAGGGGAAGCACATTTAAACCTGACTACCGCTCATTACAAATTCATCACATGCTAAGATTGGAATATTCTGCTGGATACTATATGAAAACTAAAGACTTCTGCTTCATTATACGTTCTCTTTTAAATCAAACATCTTAAGATATGAGTGGAAAGTATTATTCTTGCAACTACATTTCTAACATTTAACCATGTCATGTGACACCTTACTTCAGTACTGTTTAGGAACAAATATTACTGGGACCACTACAGAAAATTGCAGATGAACATTTAATATCCAGGAATGCACATTATAGACACTACCGCTGACTATCTGTGTAACAATTCGACCACAATATAGCACAAAGACCATATATGGTCCAGTCACATAATAGGTTTCAACCTAATCTTACTCAGTACAGACAAATGATTGAGACGTCACATGTGCAACTCTATTCAGTCTCATCATTATACATATACTATAACAGTAACATATCTGAACTGAGCCTTAGCTTTTTTTTTTTTACAACATGCTATATAATCTTTCATAGGTGTTGCTGCTGATTCTGCCTTCATTCCTAAACATCAGCATAATATCAACTACCGACATTATACCTACCTACTAAAAAGTATTGCAATGGATCGCCAATCTCCAGGCTGTCAAGCCTTTCGATGAAGGCCACTAATGTTGTAAGCATCTTTGCAAGAGCCCCAACGAGGACCAAATTAGCAGGAATCTCAGAGTGAGTTCAGCTGCAGTGTAAATCCATATAAATCCCTAAAGGACATCAAATCCCACCTGGAAGCTGGTTGCGTGGTGCCGTCGCAGAGAATCAAAGAAGGCACCCAGGATATAATGATCACAGGAAATACAAGGAGAATATTCACCAAAATAAAGACGATAGCATTTTAATAACGATAGGGGTTAGGTAGAGGTGAGCCTAGTTATTTTAAATGTTATTTTCTTTTCTTCCTGACTCACCTGTATTGTGACAATTCGTGGCAGCGGCTGCCGAGTGTTGGCTCCACCTTCAATGGCAATACCCAGGGTGCTGGCACTCTTTGCCACCCTCACTAGTGTAGAGGTGGGCTCCAGCAGCCCTGGCTAAAGTAAGGGGTAGAGAGAGGGGCACAAGTTACAATACAAGAAGAACATTACTTATACATATATATATATTTTTTTTTAAATTTTATTTATAACATTACACAACCTCTCTGCGTCTGCTTCGCCTTTGTACCTCTTTGAATACATATATTTCTCTGCCTGTTTATCCAAAGAAGATCTTTGTTTTCTCAGAGCACACATGCTCAAGAGTCTTCCCAATGGGTTTACACATTCATAAAGGCCACGACTCTTCATTAACATGTACATATTAAACCTGGTGACATATTCACAACATCAGTAATCATGTTTAAGAGCTTCACAAGACGGAGGACAAAAGACATAACCAATCTTGAAATTATTTTACCGGCTTTTAACAAGTCATCTACACAATGGTTTTCTATTGTTTAGTCACTTTTATGTCAGCTCTTGTAAAGTTTCTGGAAAGTTTTCATTGTATGTTACTCTGAATGTTTGTGGTGATTCATGTCCCTACTCTAAGATAAAAACCAATGATGGCGTAGTGGTTAAGAAGCATATCAGATAACTGCAGCATCTCCACTTCAATTTTGGCCAGGGACCTTTATTGTTGTTTATAGATTTTCAGAAAAGGCCAATAGATGAAAGCTCTTTATGAGAAAACTCACTCAACCACAGGCTACAGAGGCTAGTGGAACAGAGGCTCGGTAGCACAGGGGACTGAACTTCTTCATATAGCTCACATGCTGGATGGCTCACCTTCACTTCAGCCGCCTCTAAAACATGACTCTGGACCTGCACATTTAAATACTGCCCACAGTAGACTATATCTTTAACAAATGTCTTCTTTAAGTTCATTTAGGAAGGTTTTTATGAGCACATGTTTTTTCTCTTGTCAGCACACTCTTGGTTGATACTCAGTAACAAACAGAAGGAAAATGCCTTGCTCCGAGTCCTCAGCAATAAAATGCAGCTTTTTATGATACAAATTTGATTCAGCTTTTGCATTTTCAGCCTAATGACTCCAATCTGAAACAGACATTGAATCTAACATCTCTCTCATCATAAACGACCAGGCTACTCCCGTCCTTACTTGTTATTTATTCCATTAATCAATAAGAAACAGAGAGCGTTTTTAGAGATTCATTACGCTACACCGCAGTGAGTGATGAAATAAATGATGGAGCATGTGACTGAATGAATGACATGAGTGAGAAATAAACAAATGAGGGAAACAAAGGAAACAGTCTGTGTGAGCAAACAGAGGGGGGAGAGAAGAGATCATGGTTAGGTTTAAGAACAGATTCTGGAGGAGAATTAGAAATAAAGCACATCGATTTATCAACCAGTTAACTTGGTATGTTTTTACACACACAAACACACACACACACACACACACACACACACACACACACACACACACACACACACACACACACACACACACACACACAATTTGTACTTCCATACTTGTGAGGACCCACAGTGACATAATACTGCATTATCTACGTCCATAAACCTAAATACACCTAAACTCTGAAGCCCAGTTCAGACCAAAGATTTGTGACATTCTGAAAATCTGCAGTTCACCACGGCAACTTGACTAGATAGTGTATCATCTCCATAGCAACAACTCTTTGTACTTCTAACTGCCGGTTTCTTAGGCTTTTTTTTGCAGCTGAGTAATAGTGATGGTGAATTACTTGCTACAGTTGCATTTTATTGATGTAACAGCCAAAACTAGGGACAAGAATTTTGAGCCTTCCATGGTTTCTCTTTATCTGAGCACATTTTAAGGCTTGTGTCATACAGACATGGCTGTTCCTTAAACAAATTGATCCTGGTGATCCTGGGTTCCTTGGCCCAGTATATTAAACTTAGCATCACAAACCTAGGGGTTAAAGTGGACCCTGAGCTTAAGTTTGACAGTCAGATCAAGGCTGTTGTCAAATCAAGCTTTTTCCATTTGAGGCAGCTGGCCAAAATAAAGCCAATTCTATCAAGGCAGTACTTTGAGACGGTAATCCACGCCTTTGTTACCACTCGGCTGGATTACTGTAATGCACTGTATGTGGGGGTTAGTGGGTCCTCCATCGCCCGTCTCCAGATGGTATAGAATGCTGCTGCACGTCTTTTAACTGGCACACGTAAACATGAGCACATTTCCCCCATTTTAGCCTCACTCCACTGGCTGCCAATTCAATTTAGGATCCATTTTAAAATTATTTTATTTATTTTTAAATCCCTGAATGGTCTTGCCCTGCCCTACTTCTCTGAGCTTCTATACCCGTCCGCTCTCTCAGGTCAGATGATCAGCTGCTCCTGAGTGTGCCTAAAACTAAGCGGAAGCTCAGAGGGGACTGTGCCTTTGCTGTGTCTGCTCCTAAATTATGGAATGATCTGCCTCTGCTCGTTAAACAGGGGCCTCTTCTCTGTCTGTTTTTAAATCCCGTCTTAAAACCCATCTCTTCTCTGTGGCCTTTGACACCTAGTAAGATGTCGACTTTATTTACTTGATTTAATTTCTTATTTTGATTGCTTTTTATTGTGTGGCTATCACTTTTACTCATGTTTTATGTCTTTTCATTTTATTGTTTTATTTTATATGTAATTTTGCGCCTCATGTGAGCTGTTATGTCTTTTATTTATGTTGTCTTATTTATTCTCCTGTACAGCACTTTGGTCAACTTTGGTTGTTTTAAAGTGCTTAACAAATAAACTTGGATTGGATTGGATTGGATCCTCTCTTTCCTCAGTCCAAAACTCGGCAGTTTGGAATTGACTTCACCAGCTGACTATGAGCTGATTGGTTGTTGAAATAGGTGATGTGCCTTATGTTCTAAAACCTGCCAATGGAGAATGTAGCTGAGTTGGAGGTAACGCCTTCAGCCAGCAGCTGCTCTCCTGTTGCCACGTTTTGAAACGATTTCGTCTTGTCATGAATCTTTGGTCTGAACTTGGCTTTACATGAACCTGGAAACAAACTTTCTTTAAATATCCTTAATTTCCAAAAATGTCCAAACATTCGAGAATTGTGCACATCTTCTAAGATGTTCTAACTTCCAAAAATGTCTCTCTTAAAAATCTCACTCAAACTGGTCCTCACAAAGACAGAAATACACGTCACACACACACACACACACACACACACACACACACACACACACACACACACACACACACCTAAATTAACTGAATAGATTCCTCAGAATTTAACAATGAATCCACTCATCCATCCATGTTTGGCTCACAGCTGTTCTGAATCACCCCCTCACCGGTTTTGAGGGGTTGTCCCCCCCGCCCCCCTTGGTCTCTCGGGGGTGGCGTGTGCGTGAGGAATGGGGGCTGCTGTCTTTGCTGATGTGTCCTGACTCAGCTATGTCCACCCCGCTGTCCTCACTGAGGGTCTGGCCGCTGTCTGACAGCTGAGACAGGGCGCCACCTGAGAGTAAACAGCCACACACGAAATCTCACTCTTATTATATAAAAGCCATTTTTTATTGGTTTTACTCTTTTACTTCAACTTTTGAGTTTAATGGAATATTGAAATACGGTGTTGTCATGGTAAACTGCACAAATGCAAGAAAAAAAAAAACAATACAGATTTTTTTATTTGTTCTGAAAAGGGTCAGATTTTGAGATTTAATAGAAGATTAAAAGCTTATTATGATTAGTGACGTTTTGCCTGAAGTGGCAATCATACACAGTGTTCTGGGTAATTGCTCATTTAAGCACATTAAGCCCAAATCAATACATGAGATATTTATACACATTTTCTTCAGCATATTTCCTCATTTAATTGCAGACAATGACAATTAGAAAGCCTCAGAATATGGCCAATATCAGTAAATAAATCCAAACTGTGGTATCTAATCTGAATGTTTCATAATCACTACAAATACTTAAAAGTTAGGTGAGAAAGCTTTTATGTGTACAGTCAATGCAGTGATAAAAAAATAAGTATGCATTATTCATTGGACTTATCAGTGTTACAATAAACTAAACTGCAGATTGAGGATAATTATGGAAAAAAAGCAGGTGTTTAGAAAAAAATGAATTCATATTTTATACTTTTTTTTTCTGACATTGTATAGATTAAACTACTAATATTGATATTCAAAAATATTTAAGAAATTGATCAGTACTTTAAAACAATAATTAGTTGTGCTTAGTTGTGTATGTTATTCATTTGAGGACACAAATGACAAATGTGACACCCGTCGGGTCCGTACATTTTATTTCCTGAGCTCTATGTTCCTCACCTCGAGCTTGGGGCAGTGGCCGCACCTCGTTAACGTCGGGCTCTGCGTTGGGCCTGTGAACCTCCACTGTAACAAACTGTTGTTTAGAGCCAGGAGAGGAGGCAGGGGAAGCTTTGGACATGGACACTGGCTTAAGAGGGAGAGAAGGTGGTGGACGAGGAGCAGGGAGTGGAGGTGGAGGTGGAGGTGAAGGGGATGGGGCGGCAGGTTTGGGGCCTCTGCTGGGAGACTGCACCCTGGGGAAAGGGCCGATGTTGTGCTGGGTGACCATAGACAACTGAGCAGCTGTTATTTTTTCTTTCTTGGAGGTTACCGAGGGATCTCTCTTTCTGACGACCGCGTAGTCCCGAGACGGGTCCCTGGGATGTTTGTGGTGCAGTGAGGGCGAGGCGGGGGCATGTCCTGGCTCTTTGCTGTGGTTGTGGGAGCTCGGGGCTGTGAAGTAGAGGCCTGAGTGGGAGGATTCGGACGAAGGGCATTTGTTGACCTGATCTCGTCTACTTGGGCGCCTCTGCACCCCTGGTGGGGGCGGAGGCTTGAAGGAGGGGGGAGATTCAGCTGTGGTGGACTGTACGTCGTCCTGGAGTGAGAGGATATATATTTAACATTGATTAGGGGTGGAACAATGTATAATGGCACAATATATCCCCATACAAAATGTGGCCACACTGTAGGCATTATGAAGCTGAGAAATCCAATAAATCTGATCAGCTCTGACTCTGAAAATGCATAAATTAAATGCCAAAGGGCGAAATATTATTTCATCCATTAACACTGTCAACTGTTACAGATTGCAACTACTTTGTAAAAATGTCCGAAGGAAACAACAGGGTCACCTATTTTTGGAAAGACACATTAATATTGACTTTGTTGAATCTTATTTATCAATTCTGTGAGCCCAACAAACAAAATGCTATTAGAGGTAAATGAGGAAATATGTTTTTGGTAATTTGAATGCAACAACCCTTTAAGAAATGGTATTTAAAAAATGCAGATTTTACATCTAAATAGGAGTAAAAAAGGATTTTTAGAGTCAGTTTTACCAACTTTGAACCCTGTATCATACTGAAAAATGAGTTGCCTAATTTGTAACATGCTGAGGAAGTACAAAACCACCGTTTAAACCAATTGTTTGTATTCTTTCCTCCTGATTCCCACCACTTTTCACTCACACAACTGTATTAGACACCTGTTTAACCACTCCACCAGTCTTAGCGGCTGTAACAGCCACTTGAAGTGTAATGCAAGGGTTGAACACGTCGCTGCTCGTCGGTCTGATTCCACCGGTCACCTGTGTTTCAAAGTAAAAGCGCTCAAACACAAACTGAACAGTGGAATGAACAACACTGAGACATGAGTGGCTCGTCAGTGTATGGAAAGAAACATTAAATGAGCGTAAAAGAACGTTTACAAAAGAAAAGTATGGTATGATTTGAGTGGCATGTAGCCTTGGACGACGGGCGACTAAAAGCCCTTCTCCTTCACCTCCCACTTGTCCCCTGCTGTTCAGAATAAACATAATAAGACCTCTTGATATCTCTTGTTGCTTTGGAAACGGCAATATATTTCTTTTAACCCTGAGGTGCAAGGCAGGAGGAGAATTGGACAGGCCAGGTGGCATACAGTGATCAGCTTCTACTCTCTTCTTTCCACACAACAAAGAAAAGATGAAGAAAGGCTGCACCGGCACTTACTTTTACAAAGCTCTACTCCTCTTTTTCTCTCTTGTTCTCATTTGATGCACAACACTTGTTCCACTCCACCTCAGTCTACAATACAAAGCCTGCAGGTCAGCCATGTCTCAAGCATCTCCATCCGTTTCTACCTCTTCCCTCCTCCTCTCCTGCTCTTTTTTTTTAACCATTTTATTTTTTCATCCCTCCTCACTTCTTCCCTGTGTCGCATCCATCTTTATCAGGCCAAAGCAGAGGCTGTGCCTGCCTGCCTGCCAGGCTCACCAGAGAGATGTCGGTCAGCAGCGTGTTCAGGCTCTCCACAGGAACATCCTCATTACTCTCCACCACGCTGTCATTCTGAGAGACGCAGGAAAGAAATGGAAGTGAGAGGGACGCAAGGTGGACAGAGAAATAGGGGAGGGTGATTAAAGACAGGAAAAACAAGAAAACAGAGAGGAAGGAGGAAGAAGAGAGTGATTAAAGTGAGACAGAGAAAGCTTGTGAACAGATGTTAAGCACAGATGTGTGTTTGTCCCAAAACTAATGTCAAAATAGATTTGGTGCATGTTCCACGTCTCCTAGAAAGAAGGAAAGATGTCAATATCTGTTGGCAAGCAAATAAGGCATGCACACACGCACACACTCTCACACACAGCTATCATGTCTTCTTCCACAAGCTAAACACACATGCTGTGAAATCGATAAAGAACCATCAGCTCAGTTCAAAGCAGGATTTGGGAGCTCAATCCCACCGGTGTGGTGGAGAGAAGGTAATTTGCGGCAGATCTCTGAGCGATTTCAGAGCAGAGGAGCTGAGCTCAGAGAAACGTTGCCCTTCATTTAACTCTGCCACTAAACCAAAACAAAAGCCTCATCAATTCAGCTTAATTACCCCTCGTTGCCGCACGGGGAGCACTTACAGACAATTTATTTATCACAAGAGTCAATCGACATTCTACATGCGGAGACGCTGCTCTGCACTGTAAGCACTCAGAGCACGCTGTGCCTGTGTCTTGTGTGTGTGTATCTCAGTCTACCCAGGAATCATATTGAGCAATTCTGCAGAACATGATTTACATGCAGGAAGTAGTATTATCTTTATGTAGTGTGGTGAAAACACAGTATGGAGTTGGCCTGTAACATGTTTGACTGGAGGGATCAGACCAGACAATATCAGCTCAGTAATTCCCACATATGACAGATGTGGTGCATCATGAATGAAAATCTACACTGTGCAGTTTGTTATTGTGGAAAACAACCGATTCTGCATCTGTGACAGCCAACGATGCAAAGACAAACATGTCACAACTTTTGCCCCTTCTCTTACCTAGTCTGACAATGTCTACGACATGCTCTGTGACACTTTGGATGCCACTAACATTACCAATCCTGTAGGTATGTCCCCGTTTACAGACTGCAAGCTACAACTGGTTCTACATGTACACATGATGTGTCTGCCGACTGATTCATTCTCTATGAGCTGCATCAAATGTCTTGAGGGAATCGCAGACGTTAAGCTGCAACAACAGTGGAAGTATTCTATCTGTAACGTGCTTGTATTTGATCTGATCTGGTCAGTTACGGACGTACAATTAATGTCGGCTGTTTGTTTAGGCTTTTTGAAAATAGTTTAAGTTGCCTAAACGTATCCATATTCCAACCATACTGTAATTGACAGCCACAGATATTGGTACAAATAATCTGATAAAAACCCATTGTCATTGAATGTAATCTGAGGTTTTGCAGAATCATCCAACAGCAACGTTGTGTTTGGCCAGTGAATATTCAAGCTTCAATTGTGTGTATGAGTCTATCTGCCTAATATGTTTGTGTTGTGTGTGTTTGTGTACACAGTTTGTGCGTGTGCACATGCATTGGTATGCAGTTGACTATATACCTGGCTTTGAGTGTGGTTCAGAAATTCAGTGTTGTTATCCTCCCAAACCCACCCAGTTCTCTAATCTGCTTAACACAGCAGTGGTAGCAGTCACCCATGGGTCCAAAACAGCACAAATAGACACACAGAAAGAATACAGACTATCACACACACACACACACACACACACACACACACACACACACACACTCTCTCTCACACACATGTAAATGTCGCTTCTCGGAGGAGAAAGCAGAGAGGCAGAAAAAACCCATCTGAATGAGGACTGTTTGCTGGAAAAATCTGCAGACAGTCAACAGCTTATCTCCGCTGTCAGCTTTGACATTGTGTGTGTGTGTGTGTGTGTGTGTGTGTGTGTGTGTGTGTGTGTGTGTGTGTGTGTGTGTGTGTGTGTGGATCAGTGCAATCAGTTGTCTTCATCCACAACCAAACATTTGGATGCCGACACATTCACCATATACCAACACATCTGATGGTGAACTGTTGCCACATGTGTAAACTGAACAAAAAGTTTCCCAGCAAACTAAAGTTATCATTAATAAACTAAACAGAACAGGTGGGGGGCAGTTGTCCCCCAATTAAAAATAAATCCAGATCAAATAAAAATGTAAGAAGAGAGAATCTGAAATGCTTCACGAGTATGTTATTTCAGCACTGTCTGACAAAAATGTATGTTCAATGATGAAATAGAATCTGTCTATCCACCCTTTTTTTATGCACATGAAAAAAGTCCAGATATTCTCTACTATCAGTAAAGTTCAACTGATACAAGGACACAGTTAGGTGTAGATGTTACTATTTTCATTGAAAATTACTTTCAATTACTGACGTTCTGAAGGAGTAATTTTGCATTTTAACAAAACTTCACCTGCACTTTATGTCCCTACACACCAAAATATTTCATGCTGCAAGAGGATATAGTATTGCCGTGCAAAGGCAAAAAGCCTGAACTTCTATTTTGGTCTATTTTATTGGAGAAAATAGTTGGTTGTCTTTGCCTTAACTTCCAAGCCCCCCAGAAAACTCAAGGCAGAATATCTTAAGATCAACTAAGGTTCTTTGCCATGTTTCACTGCACTTCAGAACCCTCAAACTGAGTTAAGGTACTCTGTTAAGGTACTCTGCCTTCAGCGCAGTAAACAGGAAACTTCACTTCACAACAAAACAAAAGGCAAGTTAATTAAACCTTAATTCAATTTGAGTTAAGATATTCTTGAGTCAAGGTTAAGTTACAGTGTTATGACTATGTAATACATTATGCCTGTCTAATACATAGGCATAACATCGTGACTTCAGCGTGGTAATAATTATAATCTGTCACCAAAGCATTTCTGACACACACACAGACACACACACACACACACACACACACACACAGTAGCTTGAATACAGTTTTAAAGCAGAAAGTGTTAAGAATTGTTCTCAAGGTAAAATGTCGGTGGAGGTGGTTTTGAAATGCAGATACAAAAATCAATTAAGAAAGATTAAATTAGGCTACAAGAAGGATATAGATAAATAAACAATCCCCTAATATTACTTGTTAGCAGCTAAGGCTAACTACTTAGAAAACCAGACTGCCTAAGTGTGCTATAATCAGTACATTTATATGTAGACGTTGTCATTATTATCATATACTGATACTGTTTGAATTATTTTCTGGGCAAAATATATGCAATACCTGATGTTATTTACAAACCAGGCATGCACACTAGTTTTATGAGAACATATTTAATAGTAAGTGCTAAATCAAACTCTTCAGGATGAAACACAGCTGTTATTTGTGTGATCTTTTCTCTCTGTAACAGTGATGTCATCCTGATAAAAAAACAAAACAGCCAGAGACTTCCTGAACAGTCAGTCACACTGAGATGACTGTTAATCATAAGGATTGCAGAGACACTTTGAAAGCACTGCACTTCTTGTCCAAATCAAAATGGAGACAGAAATAACAAGAAAGAAGAAAAACACTGCAAACAAAAAACTGCAAAGCCACAAACCAAAGTGAGAGTGTGAGTCAGAGTATGCACGTGTGTCTGGTATACATCTGCCCTCAGGGAACTTTACATCTCCTAGTCTAGTGTGTATCCTGTGTGTGTGTGTTGGAAAGCATTCATTACTTTCAGCAGCGAGTCCTACCTCCATCATATCTATCAGCCAGAGCAGCCTTTCCTACAGAGGAGGAGATGGGGGGGAGGTTTTTGGGGTGAAGTGGAAGTGAGGGTGGGGTTATTGAGGTGGAAGAAAAACACAACCTATAAAATATCAGCCGAAAGACTTTTCAGTCTCAACAGGAAGGCACTGAAACGTGTCATTATTCAGCCTGACAAAGTCCACACCAGAGCAGCATCTTTTCTTCTGCAGAGTCTGTTATAATCCATGGAAATATATCTCACACACACACACACACACACACACATATCCAACAGAAAGGAAGGGTGAGCAGACAGCCAAACAGAGAAGGAACCAATCACAATCCAAACAGACAGTGAAGCAGACCAGAAAAAAAGCTCATGCATCATTTTCACTCCAAAATATCCAACTCTAATTTCAAGTTTCCACACACCCAATCATTCCTAAAGGAAAAAATAGAAACACTTATTTTTGTCCATCTTATCTAACCCATCCATACACATTAAATCAGGAATTGGCAGATAATCATCCAGCTAACAAACCCAGCCTACCCGAGCAGAGCTGAGGGTGGTGTTGGTCATAAAGCTGGCTGAGGACGATGTCAGGGTGTCTGGGTATGACACCATGGACAGGGAGTCTGGTTGGAGAGCCGTGGCTCCAGCTGTCCCCTGTCGTGCCTTTAGAGCCTGAATCTCACGTCGCAGCACCAACCCGTCAAAATGCTCCAGGTCCTGTGGGGTGACCAGACCTCGCACCTCTGACAGCAGAGAGAACTGAGGGGAGGAAGGTACAGAGGGGGAGAAACAAGAGGGGAGGCAAAGGTTTGATGTAACAGACTTGGGTGGGTTAGATCAACCAAAATAAACCATATTTTTAAACTGAACAGTTTAAAACTCTCCAAACCTGGAAATAAACTCTAATCAAGATTGAACTGAGAGTTGCTGAGATGGTTGAGCTTCAATAACGTCCGGATTTGTGAGAAAAATGAAAGCACTGCCTGGAGGAAAATAAAAGGAAAACTTACTGACTTACTCCTACTGAGTTTTCTCATAAATTGAATGAATTTTGCTTTTTTTTCTTCTTCCTCTAAAAACAACACAGAAACAGCCCAACAGCTGGACCATAACTGTTCTTCACAGAAGACAAATGGTGTGTGTTTATATTTCATAACCAGTTAATGCTCACTTTCAAACCTTTTGGTGCACACAACAGTTAAAAATAACGTTTTTTCTTCACTGCAATCGCGACTGCTAGAGGAAGTAACAGTGATGGACCCATATATAACCTTTTGTCATAAACCTGGAGCTCATTCAGTCTGTAAAACTGGATTTTTTGGCGGTTTAAACTGGTTTAAACTGAGTTTTAGTTAGGGATGCACTGATATCAGTTTCGCTTATCGGGTCCAATTCTGAGCTCATGTACTCATAATCTTAAAACTACTCTGATACCGCACCCAGTACCACTTTACAGCACCATGACGTTATGTAACCTTCTAGTTCCTGATAGGAATAAGTTGAAATTTCCTACTGAATTAAAACAATGATCAAACCCGACTCTGCAGTGTGTGTGTGTGTGTGTGTGTGTGTGTGTGTGTGTGTGTGTGTGTGTGTGCGTGTGTGTGAGAGAGTGTGTGTGAGTGCTGCCGGAATGAGTCCTAAAACCCAGAAATGAATTATTATTTTTCCCTCACTTTGAAGTAAGTGGGTTTTTGGTCAGAAGCCTGGAATAAGGTCTGTGGTTAACACAAGCTTAAGAGATTTTCACGTCTTGTTCTACAACATAAACTATGTCAGTAAATACCCAACCTGTGAGTTTTTAAAGCTTTTTGAAATTTTTACATTACTTAAAAAAGCCGGTTGCTAACAAGTGGCTAAAAGAGACTACAGTGGCTGTCGGTGACATTAAACGTCTGCACGCCGAACACGGAGACTTATCTACTCGCTAGTCTGCCTCTACAGCCTCGTTGTGTTTATACTTGTGGTCTTGCAAACTATTCTATCATCTTTATGAAAAAAAAAACGTGTAATTATCATTAACTTTTGTTTACCACAGAGCTTACTGTCTGCAAATCCAAAATCCAATGGAAAAAAACCCATTGGCTTTTTGTCGAAGGAGCCGGAGCGATGCTAACTTCCAGGTTGGCCTACAAAAATACTTATATCCCTGCAGCACTCTAATCCTCTTGTACTTTCGTACAAAACACCGCACCAAAAACAACCCATCAGTAAGACAGTTGTACAGTAGCTCTAAATAGAGTACAAGGCAGCTGGAAAAGCTTTCTGTGGGTGTATGATACATGCAGTATACTTGAGAAATTGGAAATAAAATGCCTTTGATTTATTGTATTTTTTTACAAGGTGAACTACTGCAGACTGTGAGAAAATCAAGAGACTTTTAAGAGCCAAGGAGGAAGGAAAAACAAAACAGAACTGTAAGCATCGGCAAAAAGCCTGGGCATAAATCTCAGAAAAGCTTAGAAGACTTCATTTCGAAGCTCGCAGCAATCGCACACAGACTGTACAGGAGTCCTGCATAAAGGAAATTGATTCACGTTTCATCTTTTTCTTTCCTTTCTCAAACAAGCCTCCTCAGCCTTCACCTTTGCATGTGTGTTGAGCAGCTCGAACAGCGCCACGACTAGCTGCTCCACGCCGATGTGCCCGTCCCGGTACTCCTCCACGTAGTAACCCATGGTCTGCCGCTCCGCCTCTGTCAGCAAGTGGCGTGCCTGCTCCTCCAGCATTGCCCGTGACTGGTTCACCAGGCTGGACAGGGTCACCTGAGAGCCCGCAACGCCTTTATAAAACCCAGGCTGGTGAGGAAAGGAGAAGACAAGAGATGGAGAAGAGATTCATAATTTTATTTTTATTATTGTTTACTGTTTTATTGTTTATATTTTTATATGTTTATTAAATTTATTTATTGTATTTTAATAATAATTGATTTTATTTTTCATTTCTTGGGTGATGGAGTGAGAAGAAAAAGATGATGATGAGGAAAATCGACGAGGTGAAGAGCAGGTCAGGGAGAGGAATGGCAGCAGCTGTGATATAGGATTTCTTAGAAAAAGGGAGAGGTGGGGAGGATGATGGTTTAGAGAAGGATGGGGAAGTGATGGAGAAGAAGAAGAAGGGTGGAAAGGAAGAGTAAAAAAATTGAAAAGAATGAGGAGAACAACACAAGGAAAACATTAAGAGGGATGAGGAAGAGGGATTGTAGAGTCGAAGGGTGAAGGAGGTGATTGGGAAGGTTGTGAGGAAGAATGGGGTAAGAGAAGAGGAAGACAGAAAAGAGTTTGATGTAGAGGATAGAGAGAGGTGGATGAGGAGGAGGAGGACTGGCAGCGCATGTTCAGCATGGCAGGAGATAAAAACTGTAAGGAAAACCGCGGATGAGGAGGGAGGAGGAGAAAGCAGCAAGAGTAGGAGGAAGAAGTGATGGATAGGGAGGAAAGGGGGAGATAACCCGCCAAGACCCAGAGGTGACGGAGGAGCAGGAGGAGGGTAAGAGAGCAGACAAAGGCAGGAAACCGATCAGGGCGGATAGAAAAAGAAGAACAACATAAATTACACCCACATGCACTGAACTAACCATCAGTCTTCTCATCCCAAAAGTATAAATTATCATCCTACTTCTTTCTTCTTCCTTCTTCCTGCTGTCCTACTATCATCCATTATCATTAATGCTTTATGGCGTTACCACCACAGCTTGCAGTAGGGCAGAAACTGTGCCATTCACACATGTGGGTGGCAGGTTTTGAGGTTTTTATTCCTTGTACAGCTTTCATATCCGTCCCCAGTGTGTCAGCTGGCTCTTCTGCCAATCAGAACGACACTCTGGCACTCTAGAAACTGATGAGCTGCCAATATCAGTCCTCGCACTCCATATCTGCTCCTTTTTATTCCCTCTCTGCCCCTTCCTTTTCTTTTCTCAGTTATCTACTCGCTGGTGTGCCGTTTTTCCTTAATTAACTCCTTAATCAAAGACACAACTTCAAAGTCACAGCTCCGGGGTCTGTGTCTGCCTGCATTTCGTACCAGACGGAAACAGGAGGAGGGGAACACGGCGCCGGGCATGTTTCCTCCTCCTGTTTCCTCCTTCACTCCCTGCTTCCACCTCATCCTCAACTCTCGTCTATCTGTATCATCTGTAGCAGGAGTTGTCCCAGTGTCCCCGGTCTGAGCAGAGCCAGAACAACTGTTTAATGCCCAAGGTGAACTCTGGCACTACCCTGCCAGAATCTTAATCACCTCAATACTTACCACAAAAATTTCTCTAAAGCATTCTTGTCCCGGTTACTTAACTCAAGGGCGCCATGAAGTGAACCGATGGGACCGCACAAGTCATGTGAGCAGTCAGTCTGTCTGTGGCAGTCGTATTAGAGGGCAGATTGGCACTTGAGGGAGCTAATGAAATCGGTCGTCACTCAACTGGAGTGGAACACCTGCAGTCTCCTGCTAATGAGGTCTGCTGGAGGAGAGCAATGCATGAGGACAGAGAGAGGGCGCTTTTACTGTAAACGCACAATTTTACAGTTAATGGACATCCGGTAACGTCGGTCCCTTTGTTGGAACCGGTCCATCTCTGAGGTCATTCTATGGTGAGGTTTGTTTAAATGCCATGATAAGCTGATTGGCACTTTTATCGCAGTGGCCAACAACAACAACGGCCACTGCTGACATCCAATCGATTAAGAATCAGATAAAGCCGGATCAAAAACTGGCCGAGTTAAGACCTGAAAATGTCACACACCTTATCTCTGGTATAGCTTGACTCCATTTAACAACACAAAGAGCAGAAAAAAAGTACAAAAAAGGCATTTTTCCAATAGATAGGAGTCTATGTTTTGTTGAGTCACAATTCCATTAGTCTCAACATTAACAAAAAAACAGCCTTTCCATGCACTCTGCTGCTGTCAGTGTGTACAGCAGACTGCACTTCCACTGCGACTTACTCATCTGTACACATTGCTCGGAATATCTCAGCAAAGGACTCTTATGCAAAGGCTTCCTGAAAAACAAGCAAATGGCTGGCCGAGCTGCTGGGTTGAAGAAGCCCACATGATCATCAGAAAGCTCTTTGTAGCAAAAGACAAATGGGATGACTAACGCTGCTGGATTCAAGCTGGCTTCGGAAAAAAAAAACTTCCAGAAATGACACTGGTGGGTGAAAAAAGATCTGCTCTATGTTTTCTTTAAAAAGTCTGTAGCAGTTCATACAAAACAAACAGGTGACTTCAAAAGCCTGAGCAGTAGTTCATAGTGTTTTCTACCTATCTTAGAAATGTTTTCTCATAATTGTTTTTCACAATTATGGTGTTACTGCCTGGATCATGTTCGCAGGCAACATCTTTTTGAATGAACATTTATCTACCACACCAGAGAGGGAGGTGGTTGGGTTGGTTAATTAACAGGATTTCCTCATTATGATAATAGGGAACATAATCCGAGCGGCATTATGCTTCCTTCAAAACACATCTGCTGTTTCAAATGAGTTGTATATAAACAGAATCTCTGGGAGACGTTTGTGGTGATGGTTGTGACCATGTCATGTCAAATTAATCAAGTTTTCACATCATGGCCATCGAAAAATCTTCATTCTAAATTGGATGGAAGGTGTGGATTAATTTGAACACCTACGATGCAGGTGTTTGATTGCAGAACATAATGCTGCAGTATTAAACTGTAGCTAAAGACAGCAACAGTGAGGCTTAGATAAAGATCACAGAGCTAATGTTATCTACCACCAACAGCTTCTGATCGACAAGCACTGATATTTGCGTGAACCTGGACGTCCAAAGGAACTAACTGCAGAAGGAGGAACGAGAACTTTTGAACATTACAATAAGCTATGGTGAAGAAGATTAACCTGTAGGGCTGAGGGACCTCTTCAGGGGGAAGGACAGAGGACTGGAAAGTTTATACGACCAAAACTGCACAGAAAATGAAGAGATATGTAGACGTTTCAGATAAGAAAGAGAGAGGGAAAGGGAAACTGTCTCTCCTCATAGAGAAGCAGGCTGTTTGTGAGAGAGATCACTATGTAACACTATCTCTGCCAAAAAGCCAGTTTCAATAATACTGTTCAGCAGAAAGCTGAACAATCAGTAAAATTTGTCTCCCGTTTTCAAAACTTTTCAAAACTCAGAGCTCAGCCTTATTTTTGGACTGATCAATGAGCAGTTTTAGTCCCATACTCATGTCACGTTGTGACAACTGAGCAATCTACAAGTCTGTGAGATGTGGTTGAAAGCTCAGTGAAAAGCCAGTGGCTGAACTTTAAGATTATTTTGCTAAAAAATAATAATGATACACATATAATGCAGGCCAGGACTGACATGATGTTGACTTAATTCTTATACCCAGTCTTGAGTTCTAGCCTCAATCAAGGGAAGTTACAAGAAATGTTTAAATTAGTCAGGTTGATAAAACAAACCATATAACTGAACTTGTGAAGTATCAGACACAGACCAAGAGAAACCAAACCAAAGACAATACACTGCAGGGTAGAGTTTGTTTGTGTGAAAGCGACAGTTAAAAAGCACTATATTCTTGGTAAAGAAAAATATTTCCTTGATTTTTCACATCTCTGCACTCTGTGTTTCTAAACTACATTCTGACATTCATTTTTTTTTATAGTTTCTCACTGAAAATAAAAATAGGATGAGGAAAATCATTTTAAAGAAAGAAGAGGAAAGCTTGCCATGCCAATGCTATAAAAATCAATTGCACATGACAGATCAGACACAATCTGTGCCACCATGGCACAGATTGTGTCTGACCTGTCGGGGCAGATCTTGGTATTAGAACCTGAAAGCCCACGGAGAGAACAAGTGTACCTCTGCCATGTTGCAATATTACAGCTTTAGAAACAGCCAGTACATTAGCTTCTCAATTCTATCACTGATTTCCAACCAACCTCTATATGCAAATCCTGCAAAGCCAGGAAGTTATAACAGACATATTTACTACATCACTGGCACTCCCCACAGTGAAGCTGACAGATAGCAATATTCCCCGAGGTGACTGTGATCTGATTTAATCACATTACAAAGTGGAATGCTCCTCCATGAGATGGATAACTGTAACCATAAAAGAAGTGTGTTCAAGCCACGGAGTCAGATCTTGTCCGCTGCTCGATGACTCGGCTCAAAACCATCCTCTGCGTAATTCTGAACACATCGCTAAGAAGTGAAATCGACCCTGCTCTTATCGCAATTTACGGCTGCTAATCAACTTCATCAAGGGGATAGATAGTGGTCGCTTATCACTGCAAGAGTTTCTCTCAACCCTCTGTGCTTTAAATGTGTGTGTGTGTGTGTGTGTGTGTGTTATTTTGCTCAGAGAGCGGCACTAAATTACCGCATGCATCAGGAGTTATTATTAGCAACAAAGTCAATACCTGTGACCAGATCAGAATTTAATGTTTTAGGCAATCATCTGATGCTCTTAGAGTACTGGCTGATTTATAGTGTGCAGCCAGAAAACACATGACCTTACGGTTATAGAACAGTAATGTCGAACCACAATGCATCTCTGCTGTTAATGACTGATGACATTCATTATACATTTGAATAATAAACACAGATAGATAATCTTTGCACAATTGACATTAATATCAATATCTTTTGGCATTTACATTCAAGTAGTTCTATACAATTAATGTTTAATGAGTCATAGGATTTAATCAAAAATACAAAAATTATGTCCTGTTTATTTATTTTTAAATACAGTTGCAGACTGTCTCCTTCACTGTGATAGTCACAAGATGGTTCCATAGAAAAACTCAGGGAAGCAGCCGTACACTGCTCTT